CACTGCTGGTGGGAATGTAAATTAGTTCAACCATTGTGGAAAGCAGTATGGAGGTTCCTCAGAATGCTCAAAATAGAAATACCATTTGACCCAGGAATTCCACTTCTAGGAATTTACCCTAAGAATGCAGCACTCCAGTTTGAAAAAGACAGATGCACCCCTATGTTTATCGCAGCACAATTTACAATAGCCAAGATATGGAAGCAACCTAAGTGTCCATCAGTAGATGAATGGATAAAGAAGATGTAGTACATATACACAATGGAATATTACTCAGCCATAAGAAAAAAACAGATCCTACTATTCGCAACAACGTGGATGGAGCTAAAGGGTATTACGCTCAGTGAAATAAGCCAGGAGGAGAAAGACAAGTACCAAATGATTTCACTCATGTGGAGTGTAAGTAACAAAGGAAAACTGGAGGAAAAAAAGAGCAGCAGAATCACAGAACCCAAGAATGGAATGGGAATGAATCAGATAGACATTTATCATGGATAGCTGTAAAACAATGATGAATGAACAAAGCAAATTGCTGAGTTATATTTACAGTGTTACCTTTTATGTAAATAAATAGAAAACTAAATATTTTTCTGTGGGTACATAAATGTTTGTAAAAATACAGAAAAGGCTACAGTGCCATCCACCAAAAAAGTAATATTGTCTACCGCTGAGGCAAAGAGGAAGAGGCTGAATTTGCTGGTGGAGGTCAAGGAGACTTTCAGTTTTATCTGTAATTTTCTCATTTATTTCTACTCCTTTTCCTCTTCTTCTGCCTCCCTTCCTCCTCCTCTAGCTCTGCAAGCCCTCCTCTTCCCACCCCTCCTCCTCTAATCCTCCCCTGCCTCTTGTCCTCTCTGGCAGTGTTCTTACACCACCTGAGTTACTAAAAAATAAACTCAAACAACAAAACAGTACATACTTAGAAGACTAAAGGTACTGCAGTCTCCTTGCGTGAAAAACCTTATCCAGGACTAATAATTTTCAAAGAAAAAAGTAATTCCCGCTAATTTTATTGGAGAAATTTATACCCTTTAAGTTGTCAAGACAATAGCAGATATTATAAAAATGGACTTAATTACGTCAATAGTTAAAATTATTTTGCATAACCCCACCTAATAAGGTGGCTTCCCGTTATTTGATATCCTTTTTTCTGCTGTTTCAGCTTTTACGTACCGTGCAGCTAAAACTAGGTACTAATATTAAAAAATAAACATACTTGATATTTATGAATTTCAACTTTAATGTGAAAAAAGAAAAAGATAAAACCACAATCAATCCACGAAAACAATGCAAATGATGTGTGAGATTATCATCACTACAAACCAGCAAACTTCCGGTATACCCTGGTACTGCTGACAACACACGCCAAGCAGCTGAGGCGATGACCTTGGGTTCCTAGTTGCTCGCGAAGACTAAATGGGAGAAAAAAATGCCTTCTTAGCGCCATTAAGGGTAAAAAATCTAAATCTTGGACTCCCGAATGGGCATATCTCGAAGTAGGACGCTTGACAAAATAACATTTATTCCGTATGGGAGGAATATAATCATTCATTTCCTTTTCTGTGTTTTTCAAATTTCTTATTTTAAATAGGGGCTGGCCTGCGGCGTCAAAAGACTATGATTTTGATTAAGCCGCCAACGGACTTTGGTAAAGTCACAACTTCATTCGTGAAACTGGGAGTGTGAAGTTAGAATCTCCAAAAGCCCGGCCAATTTAAAATTCCACGGTAGAACTAACCAACCTTGCAATTCCGCTAAAGAAGTATTTTGGCCATCTCCGCTCACCGTCCGCGCGGCGTCCGGAAGCAACCCTAAGCTCCACCCCCTGCGCTCCTGTCGGCGCGAAAACCCAACTGACAAGAGCTCCTTGCAAAGCCCGCAGACCTAGTTGTGTTCGGCCTGGTTTCCCGGCCTGGACCCTGGCTGGTCCCGAGCCCTCAGTCTAGAGCCCCCGCTTCAGGGGCAACTCGCACTCAGGGTTCGCGCCCCAGGGTCCTCGCTGCCTGCGCTTTCTTACCGCCTGTTCTCGCATTCGACTGGGTTGAGCTGGGCCCAGGCTCCGCCACTTCCCCGGGCAGGTGGACGCGGGGGAGTCCGAGACTGACCCGCGGCCCAGCTCCTCGCTGCAGTAGGAGCCGGCCGCCTTCATGGCTTCCAGGCAGGCCGGGCCGGGCCACGCAAGGTCCTAGGAGACTGGATTCAGGGAAGCAAAGAGCATGGTGGGGGTACTGGCCATGGCGGCGGCAGCTGCAGCCCCTGTGGTGAAGGACTACGAGATTGAGGTGAGCTTGAGGAACTCCGTCTGTTGGTAGTAGGCGAAAAGTGATCCCTATTTAGGATCTATGATGGGAAAGGAGGGACGTGATGTGGCCTTACGGTTGTAACATGGTGTGGAACAACTGCTGGAGTGTGTTGTTTCTTAAAAGTCATGATAGGGATTATGAGATGTTTGCGATGCCAGGAAAGTCAGGATTTAAGATACCTCGACCAGTTTCCAGATCCTGAAATGTTTGTGGAACTTGATGTTTTAGACGTGTGAAATGTCATGGGGGATCCCAGGATCAAGTCTTGGTTTATGAGAAGGAATCATGGAACTTTATCGTTGAAAAGAATCTTTAAGTTCAACTAGTCTGTCCATCGTCTTGTTCTAGGATACCAATTAGATTGTCAGTACAGGAATCAAAAAGGTACTTAATTAAAAAGTCAGTTTCTCAGGGCTCCAAAGCTTAAGATACTGCAGTTAGGAGTTCAAGCATGGCAGTGCTGTTGTTATGTGTTCATCGAGTTTCAGTGAAATGCACTAAGCAGTCGTGAATAAAGAGATTCTAATTCCGTAAAATAGTGGAGTAGCATCTTCAAGTAAGTAGTTGCTAAATTTTTATACCTTTTCCTCTCAAGCTAGCAACTGAAGTATGCACACTGGTGTCCCTGCAGTGAGCTAAGATGTATGTTTGCATATTTAACTGGGATTCTTACTTTTTAGAATTGAGAAGTTTTTGTCTAATTGCTATTAGTTGTTAATGCTAATATTTGTTTGCTGAGTCAAGGCAGTTGCTTTTAGCTTGTCTCAGGTGTTTGAATTACACAAGCTCTTGCTTTTTGTATGGTCAGTTTTAATAAATCGTTTTTGTTAAAGTTTCTGCTTTTGGTGCTCTGCTTAGAGACCCTATTTCATAGTAATGAGACTTACCGTTTGGTATTTGTAAGGGTAAAGGCTTTTTATGCACAGTATTTTATTTAATATCAACCCAATGATGAGGTATTTTTATCTGTATTCTACAGATGAGAGGTTAACAATTAATTTAAAATAGATTAAATTAAACTAGGTCAGAAAAGCAAATTAGAGAGTTGAAAGTAATTTACTTAAGGTCCCACCTAGTAGATTCAGAGCCAGCACTTGAACTTAAATCTGCCTGACTCCAGAGAATTGTGGTATAGTACTTCCACCATCTCAGGGTAATAATAGTACATCCTAAGAACTCATTAGCATTTTCTTCTAATACATTTTCCATTTCATTTTAACATACAAATAATATGTAATTTATTTTGCCTCATATTTATCCATATGGTTAGAAATTTGTCCCACTACCATTTGTTAACCTTCTTTGCCCACTAACTTGAATGCTACTGCTATCGTATACCAAATTCTTAATTACATACCTCTGTCTTTTTCTTGTTTTTTAATCTGTTCCATTAAATTGCCTTCATATTCCTGAATCACTACTATGCTTTTAATTATGATAGCTTTATAATTTGTTTTAATTTTCTAGAATTATAATTGCTCTATTCATTACTTATCTTTTTAAAAGTTCCCTTGTTATTTTGGCAAGTTTGTTCTAACAAATGAACTGAGGGAAGTAAAATCAGAAAAAACTAATGGAGTGTTTTGTAACAAGCTTTTTCTATTATGTAAGTTACTAACTTAGGACCAACAAAAATACAACTTTTTAGCTATAGTCAACTTGATATTGTGAAGATAATAAATAATGTAGGAGGCAGGTAGTAATTGTTTTTATAGCAAATTAAAACTGGAAATAAAACTGTTTTATTTGTGGTAAGTGTCCTTCACCATAATTTTTACTTGATTAGTAAATTTTGGATTCCTAGGCTTATTTGCTATGTACCTGTTTCTTAGAAATAATTAAAATAATTTATTTTTAACTGATAAAGTAAAAAGGGAATGGAATTAATATTTTTTAAGTCCCTACCATGCCATCAGACTTCACATAATTTTATGTAATGCATTCATTATAAATTTTGTGGGTGGGTGGGATCAAAGGTTATAGAGTAAACAGAGGCCAATAGAAATTAACACATTTTCAAGTTAAGTATAGCAGCCTTGAGACTTTTTATTGAAGGATATAGATAGTAGAGTGTACAAATTATAGGTGTATAATTTGATGTTACATTGAGACTTGAATATAGTTTAAAGCTCTTATTCTTTCTAATGTATCATGCTTGTTACCCAAGGAGCCTTCCTTTTTTTTTATCCAATTATGTAAGATATTAGATCCATCTTTAAAATGTTTGCTTTGTATTATTTTGCTTGAAATAAGTGCTTTTTTTCCCCTTCTTTTAATTGATAGACATGCAAAAAACGAAGGAAAGATGATGACAGATCTTCCTGCAAAACTATTACAAAATATTTATCACCAATAGGGAAGACTAGAGACAGGGTTTTCTCTCCACCAAAATCCAGTAATATTCTGCATTATTTTAGAAAGACTTCACCCACAAATGAGAAGATGCAGTCAGCAAAAGAATGCAAGTTCAAGTCAACTGAGCCATTGCCTGCTGACAGTGGCAAAATCTGTAAAACATCTTTGGAAATGTTTTCAAATACTGAGTTTAAGAAGAGAAGAACAAGAGTTAATTTATCTCATCAACTAAGTAATATTAAAACTGAAAACCAGTCTCCAATTCAAATTAATAGTGATGATAGCAAAGAAAAATCTAGTCTAAGTAATGATTTTGTGGAAAGTAATAATTCCATTTTACTGTACAAGAAGCATGTAGAAGTACTTGCGGAAAGTATTCAAGATATCAAAAAACAGTCTAGCACTGTGACCTTCAAAAAAAGTTCTAAGAAAGTAAATCCTAAACAAGGGATCACAAAAAATGACTGTAGAAAATTGAGGAAAAGGAAGCACAGAGATACAATAGATCTATCTGAAAGTTTACCCTTGGCAAAGGAACTAAATATCCTTAAAGATGGTAAAGATAGTAAACAGATAATGTCTCCCCTAACTAATGAAATAGAGAGTACTCCAAATCATGACTCTAGAGCTAATATAACTAAAACAAACCAGTTCAATGATAGTACAGTAACTGTCTCATATGAGGAATTTTTGAAAAGTCACAAGGAAAATAAAATGGAACAGATACCAGACTGCACAATGTCAATTTGTATGCCTTCTGAAACTGTTCAAGATACAGTCAACGGTGGTTATATAAGTGACACAGAAACCTGTGGAATTTCCCAACAGGTACACTTTAAGACAGTTACTGTTCTTGCACAAGTTCACCCTATCCCCCCAAAAAAGACAGGGAAAATACCCTCAATTTTCTTAAAACAAAAGCAGTTAGAAATGGAAAATAGTTTATCTGATCCTGAGAATGAACAGACAATTCAGAAAAGAAAATCTAATGTTGTTATACAGGAGGAAGAATTAGAATTAGCAGTTTTGGAAGCTGGAAGTTCTGAATCTGTGAAGCCAAAATGCACTCTAGAGGAAAGACAACAGTTTATGAAAGCATTCAGACAGCCAGCATCAGAGGCACTGAAAAATGTAGTAAAAAAGTCTTCTAATAAGCAGAAAGAGCTCAGTGAAAAATCTTTAAATGAGGAAGGAAGAGACAATTCTAAAACTATGGAAAATCCCAATATCCAAATGGTTTCAAATAATGACAGTTCACAGTCACACACTGATAAAAGAAGTTTTCCTAAGGAGAAAAGTAAAAAGCTAAAGAAAAAGGATAAGAAAATGTTAGATAGTGGTGCTACTGCAGGTGAGAATAAAAAAGGAAATGCTCAAAAGAAAGAAACAACTTCTTCCTATATAGATAAACAAAATCAAAATGGGCTTAGAATGAGTTTAAGACAAAAGAAAACAGAAGTTTCCAAAAATAACATATTTTACAGTGAAAGCTTTGTTTGTGAAGAGATAAATGGTAACCCTCTAAAGATTTCCTCTCCATATAACAAGTCTTCAAGAAAAATCAGCATACCAGTTAAAGACAAGATTATACACTCTAAAGCTGAAACTGAAGACAGCTTGGTAAATGTTTCTACACCCAAATCAACCAAAAGATCTGTAAGAAATAGCAGCATGCTTACTACAGTAATCATTAGAGGTATTGATTCTGAAGATGCACAAGATGATAGTCCAGTGAAAGCTTCCACTCCAAAAGCAGCCAGTTTATCAGAAAAACACAGCTTATATTCAGCAGAATTAATAACAATACCCTCTGATTCAGAAAGCCCTATTAGGTAAAGTTCTTTTATTGTTCTGAAGTTCTAAGCATTCTGTGTATATTACTAGCTTAGCAGGAAAATACTTCAAGTGTTGGAAAGTATCTTTATTTCTAGAACGCAGCTAATTTGTAAGAAAAAAACAGGATTTAAAAAATTCTGCTTTATTTCCCACATTTAATTTAAAGTTAGGCATGATTTCAGAAGAATTCTAGATATATTTTAGATGAGTTCTAAACTCTTATTCATCACAGTTGCTAATTCCTGGGAAAATATCCTTCAACTATGAATTCTGTGCTTTTAACAAACATAAGATTGAAGAATTACAGAACTTTATTTATTGGGTAAACTGAGCCATATACTATGAGGGATATACTTGCATGCTTGTTCTAGCTAATACAAAAGTGGTGTTAGGAGCTAATTTTTCATAAAGCTTATGATTTCCAAAAGAAAATAGTTTATATTTTCTAAGCCTTTAACACTGAGTTTGGCTTATTTTTGATTCAGTAGTTCGGAGGGTGGGGAGCGTTTTTATTTTTTTTTTTGTTTTCTGTCCATCCAAAAATTGGAGCTCTAGTTGGTTATTTTCTGTATTTGATTGAAATTGTTTATAATCACATTAGAGTCATGAAATTGTTTCTGAATATCTTTTCTTTTCAGAATGAAATTCACCAAAATTAGTACTCCCAAAAAATCTAAGAAAAGATCTGGGAAATCTGAAGGATCTGGTAGAGATTCTACTTCCCAGACTAAAAAAAAGGTAATTGAAATATTAGGGAGTCCTATAAGTGGTATTCTATTTCTTAAATCAAAACTAGCATTAGAAGCAATACATTATAAAAAGAAGATTCATATGTTTTATAGATTGGTGGTGTTAACTATAATCTTCTTATTTTTTACTATTATGTCATTCCTCTAGTTAGTTTATTAAGAGAGCAACATACCTTACTGTGAGGTGAAAGCAGCTGATAAGGACAATATCATATACTTAGAAAAAGTTTTCTTAGAGTCCCACTCCAATCATTTTCCTTAAGGTTGCTTATAGGTCCTGGCTGCGTTTTTGGTTTATTTCTATAGATTTCAAGGCTAAAAGGCCAGAATCTATCAATGCTGGTGTCGTAGACATTTTGGGCTGGATAATTCTGTGTTGCAAGGGACTGTTGCGCATTTTAGGGTACTTAGCAGTAACCCTGGCTTCACCTGTAAGATGCCAGTAATGTTCCAGTTTCCTTAGGACAATCAAAAATGTCTCCAGACGTTGCCAAATAGTCCTTGGAGGAAAAAAATGATCCCCAGATGAAAACCACTACACTAAAAGGAGAGGTGTAGGATACATAAAAATAGTTTGTTGTTTTTGCAAAACTGCCTTTCTCGTCTGTGAAAGAACTGGATTCTGTACAGTGTAAGTAGGTACGGTTATGTGTGTTTTGAAAAAGCCGTGAGGGTTATTCTGATAGACTCCTTGGGTGAAAACCACTGCTACAAAAAGTTGGTAATTTCTTGTTTTTATTTAACAGCCGTCAATTTTTTGCCTGCTTATTACATTCCAGGTACTATACTTAGTACTTATATCATTCATCTCATAAAGTAAATGTTTGACTCTGTTTTAAAGGACAGCTGGGCCAAAAGTGGTGAGAACATTTTTAAGAGTGGTTGAAGTGATGTACAGTGGAATATAAGCTGAGTTGGGGGAAATAAAGGCTAATAAATAGGAAGCTATCAGGACCCAAGGTCCTGATATAGTCAATAATAAACAAGCAAGAGTTGTGAGGACAGGGGGCCAGGTCAGAAAGCAGGGTGTTGAAAATGACTATATTTTTGAGGTGATATGGTTTATTTTAATTATATTTCTCTGTTTTCCTAAAATAAGAACTTTAAAAAACTTTTATTAGAAAAATAACTATTAGAAAAAAGCAGATTTCAAATAAGTCAGAATTATTTGCCAAAATATATGTGGTATTTTTTTTCACACATTCACCGAAATACCTCTTGTCTCTAACAGTTTGTTTCAATGATTAAGTTAATTTAGGTGGTTTATTTTTAATACTAATGTAACCGTAAGTTTCATCAGCCTGCCAAAAATTTTGCTAGCAAAAGAACCTATCACTACTACTGTTGAAGCAAACCCTTAACATTCCTAACCTTCTTACATGTATTTTGAATTTTCATGCCTATTCTCTTTTAATGGTTTTTAAAGGTTTTAAAAAGCAGCAAACATTTGTTTAAAAAACAAATGTGTAAAATTAAAAGTGAAAACTTTTTTCATCTTCTCAATCCTACTTTCTAAGGGTAACTCACTTTTAAGAGTTGAGTGTTTATCCTTTCAGATACTTTCCTTTCCTTAACTAGATACATGTCATTTTAAAAAGGGATCATACAATGTCAACTGCAGCTTGCTTGCTGTTTGTTTTTCATCCAAACAAAAACCTGTAGAACTCCAAATATGGAAAGCACATTTTCTGGAAAATTACATTTAAATGCACAAGATCATTTACATGTCACAGGCAGAGCCAGGCCTGAAGGCCAGACTTTATTCTTATCTAGGGCACTTTTCAACCCCTCTCCAAAGGAGTTAGCCTAAAGGGAACTAAAATCAAAGAAGCTGCACAAAGATAGTGGGGAAATAACCACCAATTCTAATATGTATAGCATACATGTTGTGTTTTTCACGAATGTAATTATATTTAGCTGAATAAATTTCAAGTAAGAAAGTGGAAGGTGCAGAGATTTCCCATGTGCCCCCTGCACCTACACATGCATAGCCTCCCTCACTATCAATACCAGATAGCACATTTTTTACTGTTGATGAATCTACATTGACACATCGTTATCATCCAGAGTCCATAGTTTACATTAGGGCTCATTCTTGGTGTTGTATATTCTGTGGGTTCAGACAAATGTATAATGACATGTGTCTACCATTATAAATGCATCATAAAAGAGTAGTTTCATACCTCACATACCCATAAAAGAGTAGTGTACTCTGCCTATTCACCCCCTTCCTCCTTGACTCCTGGCAACTGCTGATCTTTTAACTATCTCCAAAGTTTTGCCTTTCTGTTTTTGTTTTTCTGTTATTAAATATAAAATGTTTGCCACTGGCCTCAACTAATATTTCAAATTTTTATTTAGGCAAGCAGTGCTTCAAAAACTATATCAAAAGCAAAACAATTGATTGAAAAAGCAAAAGCTTTACACATTAGTAAGTCAAAAGCTGTTGAAGAAATAGTGACACCCTTAAGGCGTTCATCTAGACATCAGATGCTTCCTGAAAGGAAGAACTTGTCAGACACAGAAGTAAGTATTACATATATTTATTGGTGTAAATTCTGCCCTATTCTGTTTGGAGTGGGAGAAGGAAACCATTATAAAATTATAAAGTAGAATTGTAAGATAGTCTTGAGGTGATAGAATATAATTTTCAGTTTTGTTTTAAAAGCCTTTGGCTCACAGAATACAGTCTGAATACTTTTCAAGTCATTCGAGATCCTTCATAGTCTCAACTAACTCTTCCCTTTCCTCAAAACAGTCCCCTTCCTCATATACAAGACTGCTCTAGTCACACTAAATTATTCATTTCTCCGCAAATGGTGCAATTTTTGCTTTTCTCAGTTGGTAGTCTCAGCTTGAAATGTACATTTCAGGTACTCTCTTCTACTTGAGGAATTCCTGCTCAAACTTTTAAGACCTTGCCAAACGCTACCACCTCTTTTTTTTTGTGTAAAACAACTTTATTATAGAGAGATAATTCACATACCATACAATTCACCATTTAAAGCATACCGTTCAGTGGCTTTTAGTATATTCCCGAGTTGTGCATCCATCGCCACAATCAATTTAGAACATTTTATTACCACAAAAGGAACCCCAATTCCCCTTAGCTGTCACCTCCCCTCTCCCTTACTGCAGCCCCAGCCAACCACTAATCAGTTTCTCTATGTATAGATTTGCCTATTCTGGGCATTTAATATAAATAGTATCATATAATATATGGTCCTTTGTTTCTGGCTTCTTAGCATGTTTTAAAGGTTCATCCATGTTGTAGCATCAGTATTTTCATTTCTTTTTATTGTCAGATAGTGCTCTATTGTATTGATATGCCATATTTTATTTATCCATTTATCAGTTCATGGACACTGCATTGTTTCCACTTTTCGGCTATTATGAATAATGCTATGAACATTGTACTACCTCCTCTGGAAAGCTTTGCTGATGCTTTTAGACAAATAGTTTCCTTCCCTATATGTACTTTAACTTTTTTTGTATTTTAGTCAATATTGCTTTCACCATACTATATTTTAACTAAATTGTCTACTCATGGACTAGCCTTCCCTCTGTCCACTAAATCCCAGTTTAACATTGAATCAGCCATCTCTTCATTTTACATTTCCAGTACCTGCTATATTGCTGACACATAGTGGATGCTCAATAAATATATGCTGGCAACATGAAAACACATCAGACTTCATCTAATACATTTCTAGAATGTATAGTTCTAAGAGGGTATAGCCAGAATTTTTATGGCTTGGTCATACTGATTCTTTTATGTGGAATATAGTCTATTAATTGCTTCTTAAAAAAAAAAAAAAGCACATGGTCATAATAAATCTACTCTTTGATCACATGAACTTGAATGATATAAGCACTAGCTATTGCTATTCATATGTTTTCTGTATCACTCAGTGTCTGTATCACTCAGTGTCAGATGTAGGGGAGATGCTGATGTAATCATTTATCTGGCATTTAGCACTAATCTTTTTGAAAATTTAACATTAGTTGTATGACATACTAAAATATTTTTTTTCTTATTCTGTCTTAGGACTCTGTAATAATAATAGATCCAAATCCTCCTTCTTTAAAGCATCCTGAGAAAAATCAGAATAAACTTCAGTGTCTGAATGATGTGCTAGGAAAAAAACTAAACAAGACTACTAAAAATGAACCTGGTAATCAGATTTGATAACAGTTATGATGAACATTAGAATGTCTAGAGGGGATTATATTCTGCTGAATGATCTTATTTTAATTTAATCTCTTTATAAAATGTAAACTTTTAATTGTATTACATATTTTTATTTTAGTAAGTAAAGTTGTAGTATAGTGAGTAACTGAGCATATTTTAAGTTACTGCATTTCTGTGTATATATTTAGCTTCAGTTATGTTTTCCCAAACCTGATTTATTATCAAAATCATTTGGGTAAATTAAAAAAAAATTTTAAATCTTTAGGTTCTTCCCTAGACATACTGACTAAGAATCTTCAGAGTGGGTTGTGGGAATCTGTAGTTAAACAAAAGAAAGTTCCCCAGGAGATTCTGACATTGATATTGAGAGATCAGATCATTACATAGAAATTTTTTGGTTAAAAAATTAAAAAGTTAATGTTTTAAAACTTTGAAAAGATAGAGATATAATTTTGAAAGTAGATAGGGGTAAGTGGGGATGATAAACTTTGATATTAACCTAAGTATTTATTTTTCTAAGGTAAAATGAAAGTCGCTCCTTTATTTCTTACCAGAAAGACTCAAAAAACACCTGATTCTATCTTTGGTTTTGATGAAAGCAGGTCAGTCCAATACAAATTTTTAAATGCCAAAAAAATTTCTGGAATGTATCTTGTATTAATCTTTGATGCACGTGTTTATTACTTTGATGAGAGAACATGTAAATTATTGAGCTTTATCATTTGAATAAATCTGTTTTAAAAGATGACTACTGACAGTGCGGCAACTGCAATTTGAAGATCTTAGTCTTATACAAACATTTGGCCATCTCTAGCCAAAAAATGGGAAAATAAACAAACAAACCAAAAATATCAAAAAACTAATTGTGAAGTTAATTCAGTCAATATTTAAATACATATACTATATCAGGCACTGTTTTGGTACTAAAAGTATCATAGGGAACAAAACAAGATACATTCCCTTCCTCATGAGGCTCACTCTAGAGGAAAGACAGTGTTCGTAACTGGGCCAATAAATGATTGGCAGTTGTGCTAAGAAGGAAAGGTACAAAGTTCTGTTAAAATTTATATTAAGTAGATTTGGTCTGGTCAAGAAAAGCTTTGCTGAGGCAGTGACAACTGAACTGGAGGATGAGCTGGAGTTCATCAGGGGAAGGAACAGTGTTCCAGCCACAGGGAACAGTCTGGGCAGAGTCCCTGTAGCTTGAAGGAACACAGTAAATAGAAAAGGTTTAAAGAATGCCAATGTGATTTGAGCCTAGAGAGCAAGGGTGAGAGGAGTGCAAGATTAAGCTGGAGAGGTAGATGCCAGCCATGCAGGCCTTTGGCCATGTGAAAGAATTTTGTCATTATGCTAAGAGCAATTAGAAACAATCCAGGGTTTTATACATGAGTGTGGACATAAACATTTGGATTTTTTTTTGCTGTTTTTTTTATTAAGGTATCATTGATCATAAGGTATACATACAGTCTTATGAAGGTTTTTACAACATTCACCCATATTATCAAATCCCCCACACACCCCATTGCAGTCACTGTCCATCAGCTTAGAAGGTGTTATAGAGTCACTACTTGTCTTCTTCATGCTATGCTGCCTTCCCCGTGAACCCCCTACATTATGTGTACTGATCATAATGCCCCTTAATCCCCTTCTCCCTCCCTCATCATCCACCCTCCCCAACCCCTTCCCTTTGGTAATCACTAGTCCCTTCTTGGAGTCTGTAAGTCTGCTGCGATTTTGTTCCTTCAGTTTTGCTTTGTTGTTATACTCCACATATAAGTGAAATCATTTAGTACTTGTCTTTCACTGCCTGGCTTATTTCACTGAGCAGAATACCCTCTAGCTCCATCCATGTTATTGCAAATGGTAGGATTTGTTTTCTTCTTATGGCTGAATAATATTCCATTGTGTATATGTACCACATCTTCTTTATTCATCTACTGATACACATTTAGGTTGCTTCTATATCTTGGCTATTGTAAATAGTGCTGAGCTAAACATAGGGGAGCATATGTCTTTTTGAATCAGGGATCTTGCTTTCTTTGGGTAAATTCCTAGGAGTGGAATTTCTATATCAAATGGTATTTCTATTTTTAGTTTTTTGAGTAACCTCCATACTGCTTTCCACAATAGTTAAACTAACTTACATTCCCATCAACAGTGTAGGAGGGTTCCTCTTTCTCTGCATCCTCACCAGCATTTGTTGTTCCTTGTCTTTTGGATATTGGCCATCCTAACTTGTGTGAGGTGATATCTCATTGTGGTTTTAATTTGCATTTGCCTGATAATTAACAATGTGGAGCATCTTTTCATGTGCCTGGTGGCTATCAGAATTTCTTCTTTGGAGAAGTGTCTGTTCAGATTCTCCACCCATTTTTTAATTGGATTATTTGCTTTTTGGGTGTTGAGGCATGTAAGCTCTTTATATATTTTGGATGTAACCCCTTGTCGGATATGTCATTTACAAATATATTCTCCCATACTGTAGGATGCCTTTTTGTTCTGCTGATGGTGTCCTTTGCTGTACAGAAGTTTTTAGTTTGATGCAGTCCCATTTGTTCATTTTTGCTTTTGTTACCCTTGCCCGAGGAGATGTGTTCAAGAAAAATTTGCTCGTATTTATATTCAAGAGATTTTTGCCTATGTTGTCTTCTAAGAGTTTTATGGTTTCATGACTTACATTCAGGTCTTTGATCCATTTCAAGTTTACTTTTGTGTATGGGATTAGACAGTAATCCAGTTTCATTCTCTTATATGTAGCTGTCCAGTTTTGCCAACACTAGTTGTTGAAGAGGCTGTCATTTCCCCATTGTATATCTATGGCTCCTTTATCATATATTAGTTTGCCATATATGTGTGGGTTTATATCTGGGCTCTCTATTCTGTTCCATTGATCTGTGGATCTGTTCTTGTGCCAGTGCCAAATTGTTTTGATTACTGTGTGGATTTTGAATGTTTAATCTGACTGCTGGTTGCTGGGTTATTATATAAAGAATGGAATTGGAGGATGGATTGGAGTAGATACAGGAGTCCAGGTGTAAGGTGGTGAAAGTGTGAGCTCAGTATTGGAGATGATGTATGAAAAAATTTGGGAGATAAATTTAAAAACCCTTGATGATTAATTAGGTCTGGGGGATGAGGGTGTGGATGGCATGATGGAAGAAGACTAGGTTTAGGAACAACATGGGTTCAGATTTTTTTTTTTCTGTTTCAATTTTATTAAGGTATAATTACATATTAAATACACAAATCTTTTTAAATTGAACTATAATTGAAATATCCTATTAGTTTCAGATGTATATCATAGAGATGAATACTTCTATACATTACTAAATGGACCCCGCAATAAGTCTAGGTACCATTTGTCCTCATACAGAGTTATTACAGTATTATTAACTATATTTCCTATGCTGTACATTACATCACCATGACTGACATATACCTGATAGTTTGTACCTCTTAATCCTTTTCATCTATTTCATTTGCTGTCTCCCCCTCTCATAAGGAACAGTTTGTTTACTGTGTCTTTGAGTCTGTTTCTCTTTCATTTGTTTTGTTAAATGCACAATCTTAAACATACAGATTGGATAAAGGTAACATATCAATATACAGCATCTTCCTTTTGTACCCAAAAGGTTATTCTTTTTCTGTTATCCCTACCTCACCACCGTAACAAAAGGTTACTTGTGTTCTGATTTCTATTGTCATGGATTAGTTTTGTGTGTTTTAGAACTTCACATAAACTTTTTATATGTATTTTGTGTCTAATTGCTTTTGCTTAGTATAAATTTTTTAAAAAAACCAACTTTATTTGGGTGTAATGTACACACAGTCATATGCACCAATATTAAATACAGTTTGAGGTTTAGCAACTATACACATGTGTGTAATCACCACCACAATAAATATAAAGAACATTTTCATTACACTCAGAAAAGTTCCTTGCAAAAGTTGGCTTTTGCAGTTAATCCCTGCCCCTACTCCCAAGCCCGTACAACCTCTGATCTGCTTTCTGTTGACATAAATTAATTTGCCTTTCCTAGAATTGCAAAGAAATGAAAGCAAACAGAAGGTATGCATTTGTCTCTGGCTTCTTTCAGTGAAGATAATGTACCATTAGTCTGTTCTTTTTATTGCTGAATATTATTCCTTTTATGAATATGCCACAATCTGTTTATCCATTGATGGCCGTTTGGGTTGTTTCTGATATTTGACCATTGTTACTAAGGGTGCTGTGAACATTCTATACACATGTGTGGACAAGTGTTTTCATTTCTCTTGGGTAAACACCTAGAGGTAAAATTGCTCTGTCATTAGGTAGGTTAATATTTAACATTATTAAAATCTGCCAAACTTTTCCCAAGTGGTTGTTCCATCTTATACTCCCACCAGCAACTCTTAATTGCTGCACATCCTTGCCAATACTTGGCATTTTCTGACTTTTTGATTTTAGCCATTCTGATAGGTTTTGGATATGTCATTGTGGGTTTTTCTTTTTTAAATTGTTTAGTTTTTAAACCTTACCTATGTACAATTTATGTACAAAGAACTATTTAAAGTGTGTAATTTGGTGAGTTTTTTCAGTTGAATATACTGTGAAACCATCTCCACTACAATAAAGATACTTCTTTATTTCTCTCACCCTCCAAAAGACTTCATGCTATTTGCAGTGCAATCCTTCTAGTCTCAGCTTTAGATACTGATCTCTTCTGCATATTAATTTGCATTTTCTGGAGTTCTATATTAGTTAAATCATATGGTAAATTTTTTTTAATCTGGCTTCTTTCATTCAGCATGATGATTTTGAGCTTTATCCATGTTGTTAAATAGAATAGTGGTTCATTATTTTATTTTTGCCAGGTAGCATTCCATTGTATGGATATACCACTTCTTGTCTGTTCACATATTGAAGGACATTTGGTTTGTTTTCAGTTTTAAGCTATTGTGAATAAAACTGTTATGGACATTCATGTAGAAGTCTGCTGAGATTTTGGTGATGATCATGTTAAGTTTATAAATTGATTTGGAATGTACCAATACCATAACAATACTGAGTCTTCTGATCCAAGAATATGGTATATATCTTCAAGTTTTTCTTACCAGTGTTTTGTGGTTTTCAATGTAGAGGTTTTGAATATGTGTCAAATTTATCTTTAAGTATTTCATGCATTTGATGATATTTTGAATGGCTCAATTTTATTTTACAGTTGTTGATTTCTAGTATATAGAAATAGAATATTTTTTAACCTATGGATCTCACAGTCTGCCAACTCACTTAATGCTATTATCTTACTTACATTTGCTTTACCCATAAGAATTGTTTCAAGGAATAAATTTGCTATTTTGGACTATTTATACTTAGATTTCTTAGAGTTATTCTTCTGTTCCTAAATCTATATACCATGATAGAATTTTTATAATAAGTTATGTTGAAATAACTTTAAGAAAAGTTGCCAGAAGTACAAAGAACTTCCATATCCCCTTCAGCGAGGTCTCCCATGTCATAGACTGTTTTTATTGAAGAGTGCAGACCTTACGTGCTATAGGATGATCACCTGAGTCTGTCTGGTATTTCCTTGTGAAGATACTCAGGTCATACCTTATAACCAGGATTACCATGGAAACAGTGCTCTGCTCTGTTCTCACTGCAACACATGAAGAGCAGCTCTGACATCGACCCATCTCACCACTGGTGATGCTGACCTTGGTCAGCTGGACATGTTGGTATCTGCGAGATTTCTCCACCTTAAATTCAACCTTTTCCTTATGAAATTGATTTGTGTTCCATGGGAATGTTTTATAAAATAGAGCCAATATCTTATTCCTTATGAGGCTTCCAATTATTAGCCTTAACGTTGACGACACCCACCAGGATTAACCACACTCTGGTCATTGTCAAATGGTGATTATCTGTTGCAGTCATTCTTTCTCCATTTTTCAGCTGGCTGCTATAAGGAAGTGCTTTTGCTTCACCTCTCATTTATCTCTAGTTATTCATTACTTATGAATTCCTATTTTATTCACTGGGTTTTAATCCACCAATTATTTATTTTGATGATTAAATTATTCTAATTTAGCCAGTGGTAGCTCTTTAGCTTGGTTTCTGTGTCCCTTTGACACATCCACATCATTTAAGGAACATTTCTTACTTTCTGGAACCGTAAGATGTTTCAGGCTCATCTTTTATTTGTCCTGCCCCACTTCTGTAGTCAGCCTCTTCTCCAAGAGGCCCTGGTTCCTTTTAGTGAAGGATGGTATTTAGAAACCAGGATCTAGGTGCTTATTTTACTCATTGATCCTGACGTGTCAGTGCTTCCAGGCCTTCTCAGCAGGTAAAGCTAAAATTCATATATGTATACGCATACCCACAAACACACATCCAAAGCTAGTTCTGTGTATATAATATGTATTATATAGTATATATAAAATATGTAAAATATACTTACCATCTTTGCCTTCTTCCCTCCAATTAACAGTTAAAAAAAATGCATCTCCTCTCTTCTAAGATTAATCCCTCCAGTGTGACCTTAGATCTCATCTTTTCCCTCATTTCTCTCAAACAGGAAAGGAAAAGGGAAGTAGAAGTTTTTGTAGCCTCTTTTTAATTACTAACCCACTTCTTGTTTATACAGAATATTACAATTGTCACACTATATATGGCAGGCTAAAAAGGGTACATAAACTGTGATGCACCACCACCACACTCTATCCCTCATTCTTCACTCCAGCATTCCATCTTCCTCTATCCCCTTACCTTCCTCCCACTGAAGTCAAGGTTCTGATGATTAGCAGTATGAAGATAAGTCAAGTAAAACTGAGACATCTACAAGGGCCTTAATGTTCTTGCTATTATATTAGAAATAATATTATATTAGAAGTTCTTATATGAAAATTTTTTGAAATATGGCACTGATTTTATTTTCTGGTTATAATATAAATACATGTTTTTGTCTGTTTGTTTAAAAAAACAAGATGGAAAAACTTACCTACCACTTAAAAATAGCCTCTGTTAACATTTTGGTGGATGTCCTTCAGGCCATTTTTTTCTATATATACTTATTTTTATGTAACTTCTTAACCCTCATAGACTCATTTTTATGATAAGCAAAAAAGAATTTGACCAGCTACCATCACAGGTGGCTGATTAAATTTTCTCAAATGAAATTAAAATGTATTTATTTTACACATAGTTTATTTCTTTGAGTGTTTATAACTTTAGCTTTCCTTTTTCACATTACTTTTTTAAAAGTCAAGATACACCTGAAAAGTGTCAGGGTTGTGATGTGCAATTTAAAGCAAAGCGTGACTTTCTAATGAGTGGTTTACCAGATCTGTTGAAACGACAAATTGCGAAGAAAGCTGCTGCCTTAGATGTGTATAATGCAGTGAGTACCAGTTTCCAGCGAGTCATTCATGTACAACAAAAAGATGATGGTGAGTTTATTATTCTTAAATATTTTTAAATATTAGAAGTAATATGAAATTATGCAAGTTGGTTTAAGCTGAGACTAAGGTTTAAGTTTAATTCTGATGGGGATTTTAAAGTATGGGATTCCCATTTTAAATAGTGGGGATTTAAAGTGTGTTTTATCTCTCTTCTTCAGCTTTAGACTTACTTAACTGAGGGTAGAGTGTTTGGGGGAGGAGAGCCCACAGCATCATAGCTGTTACTAACCCCTTATGCTAGGGGAGAGCAGGCCATGTGTGGGACCTTAAGTGAGTGTTCTCCAGAGAGGCACCATGTTATAAAAGGAAGGCAATTCACTTCACACCCAAACCCTGTGTGTGAGCAGGTCACCCTAAGAATTTCTCAGGAGCTCCAGCCCTGTCCTTTCCAGTTTTCTGGTGAATGATCAAGGGAAATCTACCCTCTTTCCGACAGCTCTTCCTGTTTAGTACCTCTTCACGGTCTCCTGGAATAGGTAACAAGTAGCAGTGTTTCACTGCTCCAGTTCACCCTTTTCTCACAAGCACCATGCACCAGAGGGAGCTCCTTCCACCAGCCTCTTCTTTTGTGGGATTAGCCTGATCACAATCCGGTTGTATTTGGACTCAAATGCTATAGCAACCACAATCTTATTTTACTTACATAGTTTTTAATTACTTAGCATGTGTACAGCCTGCATCTTTGTCATTGGTCCTACCTAGAGGTTTTTGGTAAGCACAAAAAGAGTTGTGTTTTTCCCAGTTGGCTTTGTGGTTTGGTTTTGTGCACTCCCTCTACTTGTTAAAGGTACCTGTGTTCTCTTCTCCTTTCTGTAACTTCTGTGCTTCTGATTTCGATACTTTCTGAGTTTTGTTCAGTCTCTCTTTTGTATGGGAAACTACCCAGCCAGTCTTTCTAATAGTATTCTACTTATTAGCTGCCTTAGATGTGTATAATGCAGTGAGTACCAGTTTCCAGAGAGTCATTCATGTACAACAAAAAGATGATGGTGAGTTTATTATTCTTAAATATTTTTAAATATTAGAAGTAATATGAAATTATGCAAGTTGGTTAAAGCTGAGAGAGCATCGAAAAGACTAAGAACAACAAATGCTGGCAAGGATGCTGAGCAAGGGGAACCCTCCTACACTGCTGGTGGGAATGTAAGCTAGTTCAACCATTGTGGAAAGCAATATGGAGGTTCCTCAAAAAACTCAAAATAGAAATACCATTTGACCCTTTTTTCCCAGCTCTGTCACTGGTCATTCAGTTGATGAAGGCTTTGTTTTCCACTGTTCAGTTTTATATAGCATTTTGTGATAGTATGTTCCAGTATAGAAATTAGTTATGCTTTTCTTTTTTTATTATTATTTATTTTTATGAAGGTATTATTGATATACACTCTTACAAAAGTTTCACATGGAAAACCAATGTGGTTACTACATTTACCCATATTATCAAGTCCCCAATCATACCCCAGTGCAGTCTCTGTCCATCGGTGTAGTAAGATGCCACAGATTCACTATTTGCCTTTTCTGTGCTACACTGTTTTTTCCTGTGATCCCCCCACACCATGTGAACTAAACATAATGCCCCTCAATCCTCTTCTCCCTCCCTCCCTTCTCACCCGCCCTCCCCTTTGGTAACCACTAGTTCATTCTTGGAGTCTGAATCTGCTGCTATTTTGTTCCTTCAGTTTTGCTTCGTTATACTCCACAAATGAGGGAAATCATTTGGCACTTGTCTTTCTCTGCCTGGCTTATTTCACTGAGCATAATATCCTCCAGCTCCATCCATGTTGTTGCAGATGGTAGGATTTGTTTCCTTCTTACGGCCGAATAGTATTCCATTGTGTATATGTACCACCTCTTCTTTATCCATTCATCTACTGATGGACACTTAGGTTGCTTCCATATCTTGGCTATTGTAAAAAGTGCTACAGTAAACATAGGGGTGCATATGTCTTTTTGAAATCTGAGAAGTTGTATTCTTAGGGTAAATTCCAAGGAGTGGGATTCTTGGGTCAAATGGTATTTCTATTTTGAGTTTTTTGAGGAATCTCCATATTGCTTTCCACAATGGTTGAACTAGCTTACATTCCCACCAGCAGTGTAGGAGGGTTCCCCTTGCTCAGCATCCTCACCAGCATTTGTTGTTCTTAGACTTTTCGATGCTGGCCATCCTAACTGGTGTGATGTGATATCTCATTGTGATTTTAATTTGCATTTCCCTGGTGATTAGTGATGTGGAGCATCTTTTCATGTGTCTGTTGGCCATCAGAATTTCTTCTTTGAAGAACTGTCTCTTCATATCCTCTGCCCAGTTGTTAATTGGGTTATTTGCTTTTTGGGTGTTGAAGCGTGTAAGTTCTTTATATATTTTGGATGTTAACCCCTTGTCGGATATGTCATTTACACATATATTCTCCCATACTGTAGGATGCCTTTTTGTTTTGTTGATGGTGTCCTTTGCCGTTCAGGAACTTTTTAGATTGATGTAGTCCCAGGAGTTCATTTTTGCTTTTGTTTCCCTTGCTTGAGGAGATGAGTTCAGGAAGAAGTTGCTCATGCTTATATTCAGGAGATTTTTGCCTATGTTGTCTTCTAAGAGTTTTATGGTTTCATGACTTACATTCAGGTCTGTGATCCATTTCGAGTTTACTTTTGTATATGGGGTTAAACAGTAATACAGTTTCATTCTCTTGGATGTAGCTGTCCAGTTTTGCCAAAACCAGCTGTTGAAGAGGCTGTCATTTCCCCATTGTCTGTCCATCACTCATTTATCATATATTAATTGACTGTATATGGTTGGGTTTATATCTGGGCTCTCTAGTCAGTTCCATTGGTCTATGGGTCTGTTCTTGTTCCAGTACCAAATTGTCTTGATTACTGTGGCTTTGTAGTAGAGCTTGAAGTTGGGGAGCATAATCCCCCCAGCTTTATTCTTCCTTCTCAGGATTGCTTTGGCTATTTGGGGTCTTTTGTGGTTCCATATGAATTTTAGAATGATTTTCTCTAGTTTGTTGAAGAATGCTGTTGGTATTTTGATAGAAATTGCATTGAATCTGTAGATTCCTTTGGGCAGGATGGCCATTTTGACAATATTAATTCTTCCTATCCATGAGCACGGGATGTGTTTCCATCTATTGGTATCTTCTTTAATTTCTCTCATGAGTGTCTTGTAGTTTTCAGAGTATAAGTCTTTATATACTATATACTATATAAAGTTTATATACTTTATAAACCTTGGTTAGGTTTATTCCTAGGTATTTTATTCTTTTTGATGCAACTGTGAATAGAATTGTTTTCCTGATTTCTCTTTCTGCTAGTTCATTGTTAGTGTATAGGAATGCCACAGATTTCTGCTTATTAATTTTTGTGTCATGCACCTTTGCTGAATTCACATACCAGACCTAATAGTTTTGGAGTGGATTCTTTAGGGTTTTTTTTATGTACAATATCATGTCATCTGCAACAGGGACAGTTTAACTTCTTCCTTGCAATCTGGATACCTTTTATTTCTTTGTGTTGTCTGATGGCCTTGGCTAGGACCTCCAGTACTATGTTGAATAGAAGTGGGAGAGTGGGCATCCTTGTCTTGTTCCTGATCTTAAAGGAAAAGCTTTTAGCTTCTCGCTGTTAAGAATAATGTTGGCTGTGGGTTTGTCATATATGGCCTTTATTATGTTGAGGTACTTGCCCTCTATACTCATTTTGTTGAGAGTTTTTATCATGAATTGATGTTGAATTTTGTCAAATGCTTTTTCAGCATCTATGGAGATGATCGTGTGATTTATGTCTTTTTTGTTGATGGGGTGGATGAAGTTGATGGATTTTCAAATGTTGTACCATCCCTGGAATAAATCCTACTTGATCATGATGGATGATCTTTTTGATGTATTTTTGAATTCAGTTTGCTAATATTTTGTTGAGTATTTTTGCATGTATGTTCATCAGGGATACTGGTCTGTAATTTTCTTTTTTTTGTGCTGTCTTTTCCTGGTTTTGGTATTAGAGTGATGCTGGCCTCATAGAATGAGTTTGGAAGTATTCCCTCCTCTTCTACTCTTTGGAAAACTTTAAGGAGGATGGGTATTAGGTCTTCACTAAATGTTTGATAAAATTCAGCAGTGAAGCCATCTGGTCCAGGAGTTTTGTTCTTAGGTAGTTTTTTGATTACCAGTTCATTTTCATTGTGGGTAATTGGCCTGTTGGGATTTTCTGTTTCTTTCTGGATCAGCCTTGGAAGGTTGTATTTTTCTAGAAAGTTGTCCACTTCATCTAGGTTATCGAGTTTGTTAGCCTTTAATTTTTCATAGTAATCTCTCATATTCTTTGTATTTCTGTGGTGTCCATAGTGATTTTTCCTTTCTCATTTCTGATTCTGTTTATGTGTGTAGATGCTCTTTTTTTCTTGATAAGTCTGGCTAGAGTTTTATCTATTTTGTTTATTTTCTTGAAGAACCAGCTCTTGCTTTCATTGACTCTTTCTATTGTTTTATTCTTCTCGATTTTATTTATTTCCACTCTAATCTCTATGATGTCCCTCTTTCTACTGACTTTGGGCCTCCTTTGTTCTTCTTTTTCTAGTTTCATTAATTGTGAGTTTAGACTGCTCATATGGGATTGTTCTTCTTTCCTGTGGTAGGCCTGTATTGCAATATACTTTCCTCTCAGCACGGCCTTCACTACTTCCCACAGATTTTGCAGTGTTGAATTATTGTTGTCATTTGTCTCCATATATTGCTCGATCTCTGTTTTTATTTGGTCATTGATCCATCGGTTATTTAGGAGCATGTTGTAAAGACTCCATGTGTTTGTGGGATTTTTCATTTTCTTTGCGTAATTTCTTTCTAGTTTCATACCTTTGTGGTCTGAGAAACTGGTTGGTACACTTTCAATCTTTTTGAATTTACCAAGGCTCTTTTTGTGGCCTAGTATATGATCTATGCTTGAAAATGTTCCATGTGCACTTGAAAAGAATGTGTATTCTGCTGCTTTTGGGTGTACAGTTCTGCAGATGTCTGTTAGGTCCGTCTGTTCTAATGTGTTATTCAGTGCCTCTGTGTCCTTACTTATTTTCTGTCTGGTTGATCTGTCCTTCAGAGTGAGTGGAGTGTTGAAGTCTCCTAGAATGAATGCATTGCATTCTATTTCCCCTTTTAATTTTGTTAGTATTTGTTTCACATATGTAGGTGCTCCTGTGTTGGTCACATAGATATTTAAAACGGTTATGTCTTCTTGTTGGATTGACCCCTTTATCATTATGTAATGTCCTTCTTTGTCCCTTGTGACTTTCTTTGTTTTAAAAAAGTCTATTTTGTTTGATATAAGTACTGCAACTTCTGCTTTTTTCTCCCTATTAGTTGCATGAAATATTTTTTCCCATCCCTTCACTTTTAGTTTGTATATGTCTTTGGGTTAAAAGTGAGTCTCTTGTAGGCAGCATATAGATGGGTCTTGTTTTTTTATCCATTCAGTGACTCTGTCTTTTGATTGGTGCATTCAGTCCATTTACATTTAGGGTGATTATCAATAGGTATGTATTTATTGCCATTGCAGGCTTTAGATTCATAGTTAGACAAAGGTTCAAGGTTAACTTCCTTACTATCTGAGAGTCTAATTTAACTCACTTAATATGCTATTACAAATGGAATTTAAAGGTTCTTTTTTTTTTCTCCTCCTTTTTCTTCCCCCTCTATTCTTTATGTATTAGGTATCATATTCTGTACTCTTTGTCCCTTGACTGACTTTGGGGATAATTTAATTTTGCATTTGCTTAGTAATTAGCTGTTCTACTTTCTTTACTGTGGTTTTATTACCTGTGGTGACAGCTATTCAACCTTATAAACACTTCCATCTATAGCAGTCCCTCCAAAATATCCTCTTGAGATGGTTTGTGGGAGGTAAATTCTCTCAGCTTTTGTTTATCTGGAAATTGTTTAATCCCTCCTTCAAATTTAAATGATAATCTTGTCAGATAAAGTCATCTTGGTTCAAGGCCCTTCTGCTTCATTGCATTAAATATATCATGCAACTCCCTTCTGGTCTGTGTGGTTTCTGTTGAGAAGTCTGTTGATAGCCTGATGGGCTTTCCTTCTCTGACTGCTTTTAATAGTCTGTCCTTATCCTTGATCTTTGCCATTTTAATTACTATATGTCTTGTTGTTGTCTTGCTTGAGTCCTTTGTGTTGGGAGATCTGTGCATTTCTGTGGCCTGAGAGACTATCTCCTTCCCCAGATTGGGGAAGTTTTCAGCAATTACCTCCTCAGTGACACTTTCTATCCCTTCTTCTCTTTTTCTTCTGATACCCCTATAATGTGAATATTGTTCCTTTTGGATTGGTCACACAGTTCTCTCAGTATTCTTTCATTCTTAGAGATCCTTTTTTCTCTCTGTACCTCAGCTTCTTCGTATTCCTCTTCTCTAGTTTCTATTTCATTTGTCATCTCCTCCACTATATCTAATCGGCTTTTGATACCCTCCATTGTGCTCTTCAACGGTTGGATCTCCTACCAGAATTCATTCCTGAGTTCTTGAATATCTTTCCAACCTCCATGAGCATGTTAATGATTTTTATTTTGAAGTCCCTTTCAGGAAGATTCATGAGGTCGATGTCATTTAAGGCTTTCTCAGTAGTTGTATTAATAATTTTACTCTGAACCAGGTTCCTTTGGCGTTTCATATTTGTATATGGCGCCCTCTAGTGCCCAGAAGCTCTACTCTCTGGAGCTGCTCCGCCCCAGAAGCAATGTCAGGGGTCGCAGGGGATTGGTATTGGTGCCTCAGGGAAGGAGAGAGCTGTTTCCTGCTTCCCTGCTGCTATGTCTATCTCCACTGCCTGAACCAGTGGACTGAGCACACAGGTATAAGCCTCTATGCTTTGCATTTGTAGTTCTTGTAGACAGATCTTCCCTCTGGCTGGCCTAACGCCAGTGTAGGGTTTGCCGGTTTGCAAGCCAAGTGGGGCTGACCGGGAGAAAGGCACAGTATGCTGCATATCCCAGAGGGGGTCCTTGGAGCTGTGTAGCCAGCCAGGGTGCTGGAGCACCTGAAGATTGTGACAGCTCCCAACCTGCTGGGCAGAGTGCACCTGGACAATTTTGTCTACTTGTCCTTTCTCCTGATCAGTAAGCTCTGTGCAATCCTTGCCCCTTTAGCAGCCCTTTAGACTTCCTTGTTAGGAAGTCTCTCAGACTGCCCACCTTTCTTTTGTCCCAGAGCAGCCAGATATGGATCCTTGCTTTCCACAAGCAGCTGGAATCCCAGTCTCTCCCTAATCATGAGAGTATCATGCAAGCACCATGATATGTAGGTTTGTGCTCCCAGAGCAGATCTCCGGAGTTAGATATTCTGCACCGCCAGGCCTCCACTTCCTCCCTGCTCTGTTTCTCTTTCTCCCACCCATGAGCTGAAGTGGGGGAAGGGCTTGGGTCCCACCGGGCCACAGCTTAGGTACGTTACCCTGTTCTGTGAGGTCTGCTCTTTTCTCCGGGGGTATGCAGTCTGGTCCAGCCCTCTTTCCTGTTACTCTTTCAGGATTAGTTGTATTAATTATATTTTCATAGTATATGCGGTTTTATGAGGAACCCTCTGTCTCACCTCTCACGCCGCCATCTTTAATCCCCTAGTTATGCTTTTCATCACTGATTTTGATAAGTGCATTTTCTCAAGGGTGCCACTGTAAAACTTAGCTTATCTGTTTGTAGATGAACAGATGAGGACATCACAAAGAGGACTTCTCTCTTAAAATCTTGTTATTTGAACATTTACTGTTGTCTGGCATTCTGCTCAGTACTTTACATACATATCTAGTTTGATCCCCAAAATGACTCTAGGAGGTTAAGTATTATAAGTCATCCCCACCACTTCATAGATGAAGAAACAGGTTTAGGGCCTTGCTTACATTTACCTAGCTAGTAAGTGACAGAGTGGGGGTTTGAATCCAGGTCTATCCTCAAAACTGAAATTTTAAACCAGAATGCTAACCCCCTGAAATTTTACCCTAAGTAGCTAGGTTGATTTAAAAAGAAAAGAAACATTGTTAATATTTGGTTATATTTAACAATTGGGAGGAATGACCGATTTTTATTATACTTATCTATTGGAGGTGAAGATTTTGTTCCCTTGTACTTGTTTGAATTTTGGTATTTTTGCATTAACTGTATACTTAAGTCTTTTAGTATTTACTTACTTATCTGAGGATGGAGTGTGGGTAGAGGAAATCTTGGCATTCAGTAAACGGATAGTGTGTGAATGAAGATCATTAAGAGAGTTTTTCTGTTTTTCTTTAGGGTGCCATCTGTGGCATTTGAAACCACCTGCTTGTCCTCTCTTAACTAAACTTAATGAATTGAATACTAAAGTGGTAGATCTCTCAAAATGTCTTATTGCTCTTGGTGAATTTTCAACATTAAATTCAAATTCAAAAAGTAATAATTCTGCTGTTGTGGTAAGTATTAGAGAGCCCATTGTAGGATGTTCCCTTTGCATCTTTCAGAGGAAAAAAACTTGTTTATCTATTATTATAGACTAAAGTTAATTTTTTACTAGAGTCCAATTTAAAAAAATAAATCCCCAATTGAATTACACATCACTTTTAAATACTCCTAGAGCTTTAAAAACATTTTAAGAATTAATGATAGCCAATTTTAAAAGAAAATTATATAGTGCATTTAGATACTTTACAAGTCAGCATTATAAACTAATAAATGTGCAAAGTACAATTAGTTGAGAGAACGATAAAAATAAGAACTAAGTCCTTCAAAAATTGCAAACACAACTTTGCTGTTCAAGGTTGTAGTTAGTAACTAAAGCCAATCCTACATTGATACTGACTTCTTATACACAGAAAGTAGTTGGTGGTATTGTGATTAATACTAATACATAAGTGGGTCTGTGATTGAGCGTTTTATTTTTTATTGCAGTTTATGGGGAGAAGGAAAGACTTGACTGAAGAAGACAGAAATCTTTTGTTGGAGGAAATTAAATGGTCAAATCCTGAATTTTCTTTGAGGAAATATTTTCCTTTGCTTCTGAAAAAACGAATTGAGCACCAGGTACTTTCTGAGTGTCATCATAAACAAGGTTAGTGACAAATATTATCATTTACGTTAACATTTCAGTTTTTAAAACACATGATAAGACTCAGCCATTCACTCCTGGAAGTGGTCAACACAGAGAGAACATTGCTTATGGTTGACAGGGAGCATTGTTCAGGTAAGTAGACATGTTGTGCAATGCAGTGTTAGTCCCTGCCAGCTTCCAGAGATGCCTACCCAAAGACAGCTTTAATTATGTTAAAATATCAATCGTACATTGAAGGAAAACCTTAGATGAGATTATTTTAATTTACATAGCTGTACAAAGGCATTCTGACTAACAAGATATCCAGCTTGCTTTCACTATGCCACAATTGATTTTTGCTTTTTCATTTTATAGTAATAAGACTATGGATACTTTGAAGTGATACTAAGCTTATTTAATATTAGAAGCTGTTCCTTGTTGATTAATAAGCACATGTATTTCTATAACTCCTCAAATAGAAAGTGCACAACTAGAGCCCGATGTCAAACAGAAAGAAACAAAGAGGAAACGAGTGGAAAGAGCAAATTCTAAGTCAAAAAGAAAGAAACCAAATGAATATTCAGAAAGTCCAAAAAAGACAAATGAGAAACCAGAAGAACTTGATAAAAGAAACAACTCCACTAGGGTAAAGCTAGACTCTTCCAAAGGTCTGTTTTCTAAAACATCCAGGAAGAAACAAACTGCTTGGAGTATAACATGTGAAGTGGAAAGAGAAGCAGTAGAAGATTGTGATATTCTGATACTAGACCATGACAAAGAGTCTACATCAGAAATGCCTGGTAGGTTAGATTTTCTCTCTCTACTACTAGAACTCTTCTTTTTTTATTTTTTTTAAGCCTCTCATTTTTTCTTCCCTTTTAATATATACTCATTGCAACATTCAAACAATACATTATATATAAAATAAGAAGTGGAAGTTCACTGATTAGTGTCACCACGAATAACTATATTTAATAGATTGGTGTTTGGTCTTGATTTTTCTGTGCTTCTAAAAATATACATTCTTTTGTAAAAGCCTGGAATCATACTATACATATTATTGTACACCTGTTTAACTTATTTTTGACGTGTTTGCATTTGAGTTACCTACCTTTTCCAAAGTACACTTTGAATTGCTTTATTCATCTATTTACGTAGCTTTAGAGTATGTTTTGTACAAGTCTCTTATTTTTTTAAAAACTGTTTTCATGTGTCTACCCTACTAAATGAATTACAGATTCTCTTAATTCTCACAAATCCCATTGAGGTTTTCATTTTGCATTAGTGTATAGATTAGTTTGGAGTAAACTGCTATTTTCACAAGATTCAATTTTCTCAATTGTATGTGTAGCATATCTCCATTTAACCAAGTTGATTTAGTAGGACATTTTAATGTTTCTTTGGTCAAAAGAGGCTCCACTAAGATTATGCTGCCTTTGTTCTATAGATTATTTTCTGTGGTACAAATTATTTTTTATATTTTATGTTTCTTGAGTGGTTATTAAAAGTTTTAATATGTACTGCACTGTCATGAGACTTTATGGTGGCTAGCTTTTAAGGGAGAACAGTTTTGATGTAAAGAATCTTAAATGTGAAGTTTTGAAATTGCCCTTTTCACATTTTTTGTAAATATAAATATTTATTGTTATGTGAAATAATAATGTAAATGTCTAAGAATATGCTTACATCAGTGAACAAATGCTTTAATACCTACTTTTTGTTTTAGATTCTGGAATTGAAGACATGCTTTGGACAGAAAAGTATCAACCTCAGAACTCCAGTGAACTCATAGGCAATGAGCTAGCTATAAAAAAATTACATAGGTTGGTAAAATTTGTAAAGCAATTGAGAAATAGTTTTGAATCTAGTTTTACTATTTGGTTGATTTTATGTATATTAAAATCTAGAAGTTATAAAGTATAATACATTACATAGTAAAATCTTTAAAAATTAAGAGAAAAGTAAATACCCTCTTTTCTCCCATTTCTTCTCCCCAGAGTTAGCCACCTCAACCCCTCCCCCATTGTAACCACCAGTCACTTCTCAGTGTTTATGAGTCTACTGCTATTTTGTTCATTTTGTTTGTTTTGTTTTTAGATTCCGTAAATAAGTGAACTTATATGGTATTTGTCTTTCTCCACCTGGCTTACTTATTTCACTTAACATAATACCTTAGAGGTCTATCCATGTCACAAATGACAGAATTTCTTTCTTTTTTATGACTGAATAATATTCCATTGGGTATATGTAACATGTCTTCTTTATCCATGCGTCTATTCATGGACACTTAGATTGCTTCCATATCTTGGCTATTGTAAATAATTCAGCCATAGGCATAGGGGTACATAAATCTTTCAAATCAGTGATTTTGTTTCTTTCAGGTAGAGTCTAGGAGTGGAATTACTGGATCAAATGGTATTTCTATTTTTAGTTTTTTTAGGAACTTCCATGCTGCTTTCCACAGAGGCTGCACCAATTTACATTCCCACCAACAGTGTAGGAGGGTTCCCTTGTCTTCACATCCTCACCAACACTTGTTATTTCTTGTCTTTTGCATAGTGGCCATTCTAACAGGTGTGAGGTGATACCTCATTGTGGTTTTGATTTGCATTTCCCTGATGATTAGCACTGTGGAGCACCTTTTCATGTTCCTGTTGACCATCTGTATTTCTCTGGAAGCTTATTTAATTCTTAAAACACTACAGTAAGGGTAAAAATGCTGTTGTCTTCATCTCATAGATGAGAAAGGAAACCTAGATATGTTATTTGTCTAAGGTCACGCAGCTAGACAGTGGTAGAGCTGAAATTCAAACTCAGGCAGTAATAATCCTTCTACTTAGACTTAGCACTGTATCTTAGGTATCTTTTGTGTCATCACATAATCTCCCTCAGTTCTTTATAGTTACTTTGTAACGGTTTCTTATGTGAGTATACCATAATGTACCTTTTCTCCTACTGATGTACAGTTTTACTTTTGGAGGCTTATGAATAGTGTTGCAGTGATTATCCTTGCACATATAGTCTTGTGTATTTTGGCAAAAATTACTTAATTTTAAAATATTCATGCCTGTATAAAAATACTTTGCTGTTTAGTTAATTCAGAAGCACCATGGAGTACTGAAACTAACATTATGCTGTAATCTTCCCCAAGAATCATTTTAACATGCAGTCTAAGATATATATGTTCTGCAAATTGTTTTTATTAACATACATTTTCTCTGTCAGTTGGTTGAATGATTGGAAAAGAAGAGCTGAATTGGAAGAAAGACAGAATTTGAAGGGAAAAAAGAATGAGAAACAGGAAGGTATTCTGAGTCATTTCCTCCATTTCACTGACCGTTTTTAGAATTAGATTAACTAAAAATTTTTATCAAGTTTCCTAATTGGTATTTTATATTTGATTTTCTACTTTTTATAAATTAAATTTCCATTATGTATTAGCAAGAAGTTTGTGATATTTGACCATTGAGTTTTATGAAGTAGAATTGTTACCTAATAAGCAATTATCATTTTATATGCATTTGAATAATTTTTCAGATCTATCGGATAACAGAGATTTTAAAGGCAGCTCAGATGAAGAGAATCGTCTTTGCAATACTGTTCTTATAACAGGGCCAACAGGAGTGGGGAAAACTGCTGCAGTTTATGCTTGTGCTCAGGAGCTTGGATTTAAGGTCAGTAATAAGGACAGTGGAAATAAGTTAATATAATCATTTTCCTTGAACTAAAAGAAAACATGAACTGTTCTGCCTTTTCTTCCATGTAATTTAGATATTTGAAGTGAATGCCTCTTCTCAGCGCAGTGGTAGACAAATTCTTTCTCAACTGAAGGAAGCTACTCAGTCCCATCAAGTAGACAAACAAGGTGTAAATTCACAAAAACCTTGTTTTTTTAGCAGCTACAATGTAGGCAAGTCACCAAGTAAGTAAATTATTTTCCTTAGTTATACTTTTTAAAAATAAAGTGTAAGAAAAGAATGCTAATAATCAGCATCTGGCCATTTGTTTTTGTCTTTTTCTACACATACATGTGCCTTTTAAATTTTCTTCTGGAAATGTTTTAAAACATGTCAAGACCATCATATAATTTACCCATATGTTATTCAAAAGGTATGTTACTGATAGGAACTTTTTAAAAAGCATAACCACAGTATCATAATCAGACCTAACAAAATTAACTACATACCTTGGTTTGATCTAATATACAATCTGATTTCAGTTTTCTGTTGTTTCAAATGGTTTGTTCAAATCAGGATCCAAACAAGTTCCATCTTATTGCTCTTGGTGAATTTTCAACATTAAATTCAAATTCAAAAAGTAATAATTCTGCTGTTGTGGTAAGTATTAGAGAGCCCATTGTAGGATGTTCCCTTTGCATCTTTCAGAGGAAAAAAACTTGTTTATCTATTATTATAGACTAAAGTTAATTTTTTACTAGAGTCCAATTTAAAAAAATAAATCCCCAATTGAATTACACATCACTTTTAAATACTCCTAGAGCTTTAAAAACATTTTAAGAATTAATGATAGCCAATTTTAAAAGAAAATTATATAGTGCATTTAGATACTTTACAAGTCAGCATTATAAACTAATAAATGTGCAAAGTACAATTAGTTGAGAGAACGATAAAAATAAGAACTAAGTCCTTCAAAAATTGCAAACACAACTTTGCTGTTCAAGGTTGTAGTTAGAAACTAAAGCCAATCCTACATTGATACTGACTTCTTATACACAGAAAGTAGTTGGTGGTATTGTGATTAATACTAATACATAAGTGGGTCTGTGATTGAGCGTTTTATTTTTTATTGCAGTTTATGGGGAGAAGGAAAGACTTGACTGAAGAAGACAGAAATCTTTTGTTGGAGGAAATTAAATGGTCAAATCCTGAATTTTCTTTGAGGAAATATTTTCCTTTGCTTCTGAAAAAACGAATTGAGCACCAGGTACTTTCTGAGTGTCATCATAAACAAGGTTAGTGACAAATATTATCATTTACGTTAACATTTCAGTTTTTAAAACACATGATAAGACTCAGCCATTCACTCCTGGAAGTGGTCAACACAGAGAGAACATTGCTTATGGTTGACAGGGAGCATTGTTCAGGTAAGTAGACATGTTGTGCAATGCAGTGTTAGTCCCTGCCAGCTTCCAGAGATGCCTACCCAAAGACAGCTTTAATTATGTTAAAATATCAATCGTACATTGAAGGAAAACCTTAGATGAGATTATTTTAATTTACATAGCTGTACAAAGGCATTCTGACTAACAAGATATCCAGCTTGCTTTCACTATGCCACAATTGATTTTTGCTTTTTCATTTTATAGTAATAAGACTATGGATACTTTGAAGTGATACTAAGCTTATTTAATATTAGAAGCTGTTCCTTGTTGATTAATAAGCACATGTATTTCTATAACTCCTCAAATAGAAAGTGCACAACTAGAGCCCGATGTCAAACAGAAAGAAACAAAGAGGAAACGAGTGGAAAGAGCAAATTCTAAGTCAAAAAGAAAGAAACCAAATGAATATTCAGAAAGTCCAAAAAAGACAAATGAGAAACCAGAAGAACTTGATAAAAGAAACAACTCCACTAGGGTAAAGCTAGACTCTTCCAAAGGTCTGTTTTCTAAAACATCCAGGAAGAAACAAACTGCTTGGAGTATAACATGTGAAGTGGAAAGAGAAGCAGTAGAAGATTGTGATATTCTGATACTAGACCATGACAAAGAGTCTACATCAGAAATGCCTGGTAGGTTAGATTTTCTCTCTCTACTACTAGAACTCTTCTTTTTTTATTTTTTTTAAGCCTCTCATTTTTTCTTCCCTTTTAATATATACTCATTGCAACATTCAAACAATACATTATATATAAAATAAGAAGTGGAAGTTCACTGATTAGTGTCACCACGAATAACTATATTTAATAGATTGGTGTTTGGTCTTGATTTTTCTGTGCTTCTAAAAATATACATTCTTTTGTAAAAGCCTGGAATCATACTATACATATTATTGTACACCTGTTTAACTTATTTTTGACGTGTTTGCATTTGAGTTACCTACCTTTTCCAAAGTACACTTTGAATTGCTTTATTCATCTATTTACGTAGCTTTAGAGTATGTTTTGTACAAGTCTCTTATTTTTTTAAAAACTGTTTTCATGTGTCTACCCTACTAAATGAATTACAGATTCTCTTAATTCTCACAAATCCCATTGAGGTTTTCATTTTGCATTAGTGTATAGATTAGTTTGGAGTAAACTGCTATTTTCACAAGATTCAATTTTCTCAATTGTATGTGTAGCATATCTCCATTTAACCAAGTTGATTTAGTAGGACATTTTAATGTTTCTTTGGTCAAAAGAGGCTCCACTAAGATTATGCTGCCTTTGTTCTATAGATTATTTTCTGTGGTACAAATTATTTTTTATATTTTATGTTTCTTGAGTGGTTATTAAAAGTTTTAATATGTACTGCACTGTCATGAGACTTTATGGTGGCTAGCTTTTAAGGGAGAACAGTTTTGATGTAAAGAATCTTAAATGTGAAGTTTTGAAATTGCCCTTTTCACATTTTTTGTAAATATAAATATTTATTGTTATGTGAAATAATAATGTAAATGTCTAAGAATATGCTTACATCAGTGAACAAATGCTTTAATACCTACTTTTTGTTTTAGATTCTGGAATTGAAGACATGCTTTGGACAGAAAAGTATCAACCTCAGAACTCCAGTGAACTCATAGGCAATGAGCTAGCTATAAAAAAATTACATAGGTTGGTAAAATTTGTAAAGCAATTGAGAAATAGTTTTGAATCTAGTTTTACTATTTGGTTGATTTTATGTATATTAAAATCTAGAAGTTATAAAGTATAATACATTACATAGTAAAATCTTTAAAAATTAAGAGAAAAGTAAATACCCTCTTTTCTCCCATTTCTTCTCCCCAGAGTTAGCCACCTCAACCCCTCCCCCATTGTAACCACCAGTCACTTCTCAGTGTTTATGAGTCTACTGCTATTTTGTTCATTTTGTTTGTTTTGTTTTTAGATTCCGTAAATAAGTGAACTTATATGGTATTTGTCTTTCTCCACCTGGCTTACTTATTTCACTTAACATAATACCTTAGAGGTCTATCCATGTCACAAATGACAGAATTTCTTTCTTTTTTATGACTGAATAATATTCCATTGGGTATATGTAACATGTCTTCTTTATCCATGCGTCTATTCATGGACACTTAGATTGCTTCCATATCTTGGCTATTGTAAATAATTCAGCCATAGGCATAGGGGTACATAAATCTTTCAAATCAGTGATTTTGTTTCTTTCAGGTAGAGTCTAGGAGTGGAATTACTGGATCAAATGGTATTTCTATTTTTAGTTTTTTTAGGAACTTCCATGCTGCTTTCCACAGAGGCTGCACCAATTTACATTCCCACCAACAGTGTAGGAGGGTTCCCTTGTCTTCACATCCTCACCAACACTTGTTATTTCTTGTCTTTTGCATAGTGGCCATTCTAACAGGTGTGAGGTGATACCTCATTGTGGTTTTGATTTGCATTTCCCTGATGATTAGCACTGTGGAGCACCTTTTCATGTTCCTGTTGACCATCTGTATTTCTCTGGAAGCTTATTTAATTCTTAAAACACTACAGTAAGGGTAAAAATGCTGTTGTCTTCATCTCATAGATGAGAAAGGAAACCTAGATATGTTATTTGTCTAAGGTCACGCAGCTAGACAGTGGTAGAGCTGAAATTCAAACTCAGGCAGTAATAATCCTTCTACTTAGACTTAGCACTGTATCTTAGGTATCTTTTGTGTCATCACATAATCTCCCTCAGTTCTTTATAGTTACTTTGTAACGGTTTCTTATGTGAGTATACCATAATGTACCTTTTCTCCTACTGATGTACAGTTTTACTTTTGGAGGCTTATGAATAGTGTTGCAGTGATTATCCTTGCACATATAGTCTTGTGTATTTTGGCAAAAATTACTTAATTTTAAAATATTCATGCCTGTATAAAAATACTTTGCTGTTTAGTTAATTCAGAAGCACCATGGAGTACTGAAACTAACATTATGCTGTAATCTTCCCCAAGAATCATTTTAACATGCAGTCTAAGATATATATGTTCTGCAAATTGTTTTTATTAACATACATTTTCTCTGTCAGTTGGTTGAATGATTGGAAAAGAAGAGCTGAATTGGAAGAAAGACAGAATTTGAAGGGAAAAAAGAATGAGAAACAGGAAGGTATTCTGAGTCATTTCCTCCATTTCACTGACCGTTTTTAGAATTAGATTAACTAAAAATTTTTATCAAGTTTCCTAATTGGTATTTTATATTTGATTTTCTACTTTTTATAAATTAAATTTCCATTATGTATTAGCAAGAAGTTTGTGATATTTGACCATTGAGTTTTATGAAGTAGAATTGTTACCTAATAAGCAATTATCATTTTATATGCATTTGAATAATTTTTCAGATCTATCGGATAACAGAGATTTTAAAGGCAGCTCAGATGAAGAGAATCGTCTTTGCAATACTGTTCTTATAACAGGGCCAACAGGAGTGGGGAAAACTGCTGCAGTTTATGCTTGTGCTCAGGAGCTTGGATTTAAGGTCAGTAATAAGGACAGTGGAAATAAGTTAATATAATCATTTTCCTTGAACTAAAAGAAAACATGAACTGTTCTGCCTTTTCTTCCATGTAATTTAGATATTTGAAGTGAATGCCTCTTCTCAGCGCAGTGGTAGACAAATTCTTTCTCAACTGAAGGAAGCTACTCAGTCCCATCAAGTAGACAAACAAGGTGTAAATTCACAAAAACCTTGTTTTTTTAGCAGCTACAATGTAGGCAAGTCACCAAGTAAGTAAATTATTTTCCTTAGTTATACTTTTTAAAAATAAAGTGTAAGAAAAGAATGCTAATAATCAGCATCTGGCCATTTGTTTTTGTCTTTTTCTACACATACATGTGCCTTTTAAATTTTCTTCTGGAAATGTTTTAAAACATGTCAAGACCATCATATAATTTACCCATATGTTATTCAAAAGGTATGTTACTGATAGGAACTTTTTAAAAAGCATAACCACAGTATCATAATCAGACCTAACAAAATTAACTACATACCTTGGTTTGATCTAATATACAATCTGATTTCAGTTTTCTGTTGTTTCAAATGGTTTGTTCAAATCAGGATCCAAACAAGTTCCACACCTTACATTTGCTTAATGTCCCCTAAGTTTCTCTTAATATAGCAATTCTCTCACCCTTTCTTTTCATACCATTTATTTGTTGAAGAACATGGGTCATTTGTCATAAAATTTCTCACATTCTGGATTTGGCTGATTGTATCTCCCTGGTATCAGTTAATATATTCCTCTTCCCTATATGTTTTGTAAACTGGCAGTTGGATCTATGGGCTTGATTAGATTCAGGTTCTGTTTTGGGGCTAGCATACCTGCATAGGCAGGGCTGTGTACCTCCTATGGCATCATAGGAGATACATAAGGACTGGTTACCCCACTTTTAGTGATATTAAAGTTGATTGATGAGTTCAGTTGTTTTCTGTCTAATCCATCCATTATAAAAATTTCCCCATCACTCCCTTATCCAATGGTATTTTGCAGCCATTAACGATCTTTGTCTAGTAGACGAAGGGTTAAAAATTGGCAATTTTATAATTCACTCAGCCTTTCTGAATTTATTAGGTAGAATTCTAAGTATCACTGTTCCTCATCATACTTTAAAATACAGTTTGTACAGGCAAGGCAAGAGAAATGCTTCATCCTTCCTTTTATTTATCAGTTCTTTGAGTAATAGTGTCATAGTTATCTTCTGAAGCCAATCAATGAGTTTTTATATAGTTTAATTTTTTTCTTAGTGTTATTAAGGACTAATGGATTTGTGTATATATTTAATGTGTTTCAATCCTTTGTGTTCATTGTTCTTTGCTGCTTTAAAAATTTTCCTCTTTGTCAGTGGTTTTAAACAATTCCGATTATGATGTGCTTTGGTATAGTTTTCTTCATGTTTTATGTGCTCGGGGTTTTGTTGAGCTTCTTGGATGTATGGTTTATCAAACTTGGGAAAGTTCCAACCATTGTATTTTTTAACTGAAGTATGTTTGACATATAACATTGTGTGGATTTAAGATGTATGTACATGTTAATTTGATACATTTATATATTGCAATATGTTTGCCACTGTTGATAATTAGCCCCACTATCATGTTACATAATTATAATTTCTTTTGAGTGGTTGGAATAATTTATAGTCTCTTAGGAAGTTTAATGATTATAATATATTATTGTTTATATTCACTATATTGTGCATTAGGTTTGTAGGATTTACATAGTTCTCATTTCAAGTCTGTACTCTTAAACAACATGTATCCTTTCCTCCCACATAGTCCCCTGTTAGTCACCATTTTGCTCTCTTTTTTTATGAGTTTGGTCTTTTTAAGGTCCCACATATAAGTGATACCATATATTACAGGTAAGTACTTAACTTAGCTTGTTAGCATAATGTGCTCAAGTTCCATCCATATTGTCCTAAATGTCAGGCTGTCTGTCCTTCTTTCTCATTGCCGAATAATATTCCATTGTATATATACACAATATCTTTATCCATTCATCTGTTGACGGGCACTTAGGTTGTTTCCATGCCTTGGCTCTTGTGAGTAATGCTGCAATAAACATGGGAGTGCATATACCTCCCTGATATGCTGTTTTCATTTCCTTTGGGTATGTTTCCAGAGGTGAAATTGCTGGTTTGCCTGGTAGATCTATTTTTAATTTTTTGAGGAGCCTCCATATTATTTTCCAGAATGGCTATACTAATTTATGTTCCCACTTAAAGTATACAAAGGTTTGCTTTTTTCCACATCCTTACCAACACTTGTTTTCTCTTCAGATATTTTTTTTCCTGCCTTCCCTTCTTTGGCAACTCCAACTATATGTATGTTAGTTTTTGCACAATTCACTGATTACTTGTTCAGTTTTTCAGTCTATTTTCTTCTTTGTGTTTGATTTTGGATAGCTTCTATTACACTTTATTCAAGTTCACAAACCTTATCTTCTGCAATATCTAGTATGCTGTTAGCACCACCCAGTCTTTTTTTGTTTTTTGTTTTTCATTTCACACATTGTAGTTTCATTTCTAGAAGCTTGATTGGGGTCTTTACATCTTCTGTGTTACCATACCCAATCTTTCCTGTAGATTTTGAACATATGAAATACAGTTAAAATAACTGTTTAGTGTTCTTGTCTACTAATTCTTGTCATCTGTATCATTTCTGAGTTGGTTTCACTTGACTGATTTTTTTTTTAACCTCATTATAGATTGTGTTTTCCAGCTTTTTTGGGTGCCTGATAATTTTGGTTGGATGTCAGGCTTTGTGCAGTTTATCTTGTTGGGTGCTGGCTATTTCTGTATTCCTGAACTTTTTTCTGGGATGTTAAGTTACTTAAAAACAGTTTGATCTTTTCAGGTCTTTTATACTATCTGACGTGAGACCATAGGAGCATTTAGTCTAGGACTAATTTTGCCCCATTACTTAGGCAAAACCCTCTGAATACTCTATTCAGTGCCCCATTAATTATTAAGTTTGTCACTGTGTTTAGTGGGAAGAGGAACTATTCCCAGCTCTCTGGGAGCCTCAGAGATTGTTTTCTCTGATCCTTCATTGATCATTACTCAATTGAGAACTTGAGCAGGTCTGTTTGCAAATTTTTGGAGCTCTCTGTGCAGCTCTCTGATACTCTGCCCTATGAACTCTGCCTTGGCTTCCTTGGCTTCCTACTTCAGTCTCCTCAACTTGGGGAAATCTGGACTGGGTTCTCCCTCTTCCCTGCGGCCTGGCAGGTCTTGAGGCGATACGAAGACACTCTGCAGGGTTCCTGGGTTGGGTTCTTGCCTCTCTGGTATCACTGTTCTTTGTGCCATGAAGTCCAAAGTCTTAAAAAGCATTGTTTCATTTATTAGTTTCCGTGTTTGTAGTTATTTCAGATGGCGTAGTCGAGTCTGTAGTTTGGCCAGAAGTATTACCTTCTCATTATCTCATCTTTGGCCAGGAGGAAATCATTCTAACTGGCTGTGTCCTTTTGACATAGACCCAGTAATGTTTGATCTTTTCTTGCTTTCTGCCTTGTTAAGATGTCCTGAACCTAGAATTAAGTAGTTTTCCAAGGAGTTGATTCTTTTGGTAGAAAATGCTTTAAAAAGAATAGAGTGATAAAATTTAACCAAGTACATACCTAAAAATAAAAACTGACATGAATTTTCTAAAACCAGTCTTTGGGCTGATGCCAGTCCATGATCAAGCGATCCTTAGTCTATGACAAAATTAGAAAAATAAGGACAAAATATTGTTTTCTTTTTTTATAAATTGAAATCTATACAATGTAAAGAAATATTTTTTATTTTAAGATTATGAGCCTTTTGTGATATTAAAATGCTCTGTTTCTATGAAATGATACTGATGTCTGTGATAGTTTTTCAAAATTTTCAGTAAGTTTTCCAAACACCTATAATATGCAAGGGATGTGATAAGCTCTGTGGTAATACAGGGGTGCAAAAAAAGAATAAGACACAGTCATTGAATTGTGCATGTATGATGGTACATGAAGATCCTGTTCCATGAAGACTGTAAGGTAATTAGCACATGTGAGGACTGAATCAGAGTACCCAGTGGGGAGAAAAGGACATACTCTGGAATAACTGCTGGGTGCCATAGAGCTTCTGGACGGTAGAGATCAACCATTTATTTTTTAACTTTGTATGCGTCCTACATAGCATCTATAGAAAAACATATTTCCTTGCAATGTCAATTTACTATATAGCTAAGCTGAAGCTGGATAATATCAAAATATGCTCACTATGTACTGTTACCATGTTTTCTCCAGCCTCTTTTGACCTTAAGCAGATGTAGAGAGAGTGAATGGAGAGATTATGAACATTATTTGCTTCAAGAATGTGTTTCTTTAGCAAAGAATATCTTTTCCAAATGACTGGCTTTATGTTCTCTACTAGTAGAGTAATTGTAATAATGCTGTTATATATTTGCATGTACAGAATATTTGAAAGAATGAAAGAAAATTTTGGTATCAGTTTTTAGCTGGTAAGAGAAACATAGACTGTGGATAACTCAACCTTGCCAACTATTTAATTTTTAGATTATTTATCTTTAAGTGCAATTTGTTTTTGGCAGAAAAATTAAACTCCCCTAAGAAAGCTGTTTCATCACCAAGGAAACTTCCTCCACCATCATCACAAAGTAGTGGACCAAAGCGAACACTTCCACCTAAAACTTTGGCAAATTATTTTAAAGTGTCTTCCAAGACAAGAAATAATGAAAAAACAGGAGCCCTTCTGGAAAATAATAAAGGTAAGATATTAAATTAGCACAATAAATATGGCATTTCTTAGTGACTATGATACATAAAAATGTGGTCATATTTCATGATCAAAATTCACCAGAATGTTATTTATTAAACCTCAGCTATGTGGAAGGTCCTGCATATAAGTGTTTTGATATTCTGTTTCAGTTTTATTTTTTTAATTAAAGTATCATTGATATATACAATCTTATGAAGGTTTCACATGAACAACATGGTGGTTTCAACATTCACCCATATTATCAAGTCCTCACCCCCACCAATGCAGTCACAGTCTATCAATGTAGTAAGATGCTTTAGAGTCATTACTTGTCTTCTCCATGCTATACTGCCTTTCCCGTGACCCACCTATATTGTATGTGCTAATTACAATGACCCTTAATCCCCTATCCCTCCCTCCCCATCCACCCTCCCCAGTCCCTTTCCTTTGGTAACCCCTAGTCCCTTCTTGGAGACTGTGAGTCTGCTGCTGTTTTGTTCCTTCAGTTTTGCTTTGTTGTTATACTCCACAAATGAGTGAAATCATTAGGTATTTGTCTTTCTCCACCTGGCTAATTTCACTAAGCATAATCCCCTCCAGCTCCATCCAGCTCCATTGTTGTAAATGGTAGGATTTGTTTTCTTCTTCTGGTAGAATAGTATTCCACTGTGTATATGTACCACATTCTTCTTTATTTATCTACTGATGGACACTTAGGTTGTTTCCATATCTTGGCTATTGTAAATAGTGCTGTGATAAACATAGTGGTGCATATGTCTTTTTGAATCAGAGCTTGTTTTCTTCAGGTAAATTCCTAGGAGTGAAATTCCTAGGTCAAATGGTATTTCTATGTTTAGTTTTTTGAGGAATCTCCATAATGCTTTCATAATACTTGAACTGATTCACATTCCCACCAACAGTGTAGGAGGGTTCCTCTTTCTCTGCATCCTTGCCAGCATTTGTTGTTCCTAGTCTTTTCTATGTTAGCCATCCTAACTGGTGTGAGAGAATATCTCATTGTGGTTTTAATTTGCATTTCCCTGATAATTAACAATGAGGAGCATCTTTTCATGTGCCTGTTGGCCATCTAAATTTCTCCTTTGGAGAAGTGTCCATTCATATCCTCTGCCCATTTTTTAATCACATTATTTGCTTTTTGCATCTTGAGGCATGTGAGTTCTTTATATATTTTGGATGTTAACCCTTTATTATATATGTCATTTACGAGTATATTCTCCCATAATGTAGGGTGCCTTTTTGTTCTGCTAATAGTGTCCTTTGCTGTACAGAAGCTTTTTTAGTTTTATGTAGTTCCATTTGTTGATTTTTGCTGTTGTTTTCCTTTCCCAAGGAGATGTGTTCAGAAAAATGTTGCTCATGTTTATATTCAAGAGATTTTTGCCTATGTTTTCTTCTGAGAGTTTTATGGTTTCATGACTTACATTCAGGTCTTTGGTTCATTTCGAGTTTACTTTTGTATATGGAGTTAGACAATAATCCAGTTTCATTCTTTTACGTGTAGCTCTCCAGTTTTGCCAACACCAGTTGTTGAAGAGGCTGTCATTTCCCCATTGTGTATCCATGGCTCCTTTATCATATATTATTTATCCATATATATGTGGGTTTATGTCTGTGCTGTGTTCTGTTCCATTGATCTATGGGTCTGTTCTTGTGCCAGTACCAAATTGTTTTGATTTCTGTGGCTTTGTAGTAGAGCTGGAAGTCGGGAAGCATAATCCCTCCAGTTTTGTTCTTCCTTCTCAGGATTGCTTTGGCTATTCAGGGTCTTTTGTGGTTCCATATGAATTTTAGAACTATTTGTTCTAGTTCATTGAAGAATGCTGTTGGTATTTTGATAGGGATTGCATTGAATCTGTAGATTGCTTTAGGCAGAATGGCCATTTTGACAATATTAATTCGTATCCATGAACATGGGATGTATTTCCATTTGTGTCTTCTTTAATTTCTCTAATGAGGGTCTTGTGGTTTTCAAAGTATAGGTCTTTCACCTCCTTGGTTATGTTTATTCCTAAGTATTTATTCTTTTTGATGCAATTGTAAATGGAGTTATTTTCCTGATTTCTCTTTCTGATAGTTTATTGTTAGTATATAGGAATGCAACAGATTTCTATGTATTAATTTTGTATCCTGCAACTTTGCTGAATTCAGTTTTTCTAGTAGTTTTTGGTGGATTCTTTAAGGTTTTCTATGTACAGTATCATGTCATCTGCCAACAGTTACAGTTTAACTTCTTCCTTACCAATCTGGGTACCTTTTATTTCTTTGTGTTGTCTGATTGCCATGACTAGGACCTCCAGTACTATATTGAATAAAAATGGGGAGAGTGGGTATCTTTGTCTTGTTCCTGATTTTAGAGGAAAAGCTTTCAGCTTTTCACTGTTAGGTATGATGTTGGCTGTGGGTTTGTCATATATGGCCTTACTCATGTTGAGCTACTTGCCCTCTGTACTCATTTTGTTGAGAGTTTTTATCATGAATGGATGTTGAGTTTTGTCAAATGATTTTTCAGCATCTATGGAGATGATCATGTGATTTTTGTCCTTTTTGTTGATGTGGTGTATGATGTTGACTAATTTTTGAATATTGTACCATCCTTGCATCCCTGGAATAAATCCCACTTAGTCATGATGGATGATCTTTTTGGTGTATTGTTGAATTTGGTTTGCTAATGTTTTGTTGAATATTTTTGCATCTATGTTATTGAGGGGTAGTGGTCTGTAATTTTCTTTTTCTGTGGTGTTTGTCTTATTTTGGTATTAGAGTGATGCTGGCCTCATAGAATAAGTTTGGAAGTATTCCCTCTTCTACTTTTTGGAAAACTTTAAGGAGGATGGATATTAGGTCTTTTCTAAATGTTTGATAAAATTCAGCATGAAGCCATTTGGGCCAGCTTTTTTGTTCTTAGGTAGTTTTTTGATTACCAGTTCAATTTCATTGCTGATAATTGGCCTGTTCAGATTTTCTGTTTCTTCCTGGGTTGGTCTTGGAAGGTTGTATTTTTCTAGTAAGTTGTCCATTTCTTCTAGGCTATCCAATTTGTTGGCATATAATTTTTTATAGTATTCTCTAGTAATTCTTTATTTTCATGGTATCCATAGTGATTTTTCCTTTTTCATTTCTTAGCCTGTTTGTGTGTATATACTCCCTTTTTTTTCTTGATAAGTCTGGCTAGGGGTTTATCTATTTTGCCTATTTTCTCAAAGAACCAGCTCTTGGTTTCATTGATTGTTCCTATTGTTTTATTCTTCTCAATTTTATTTATTTCTGCTTTGATCTTTATTATGCCCCTCCTTCTACTGATTTTGGGCCTCATGTGTTCTTCTTTTTCTAGTTTCATTAATTGTGAGTTTTAACTGTTCATCTGGGACTGTTCTTGTTTCTTGAGGTAAGCCTGGTTTGCTATATACTTTCCTCTTAGAATTGCCTTCGCTGCATCCTGCAGATTTTGGGCTGTTGAGTTGTTGTTTTCATTTTCTCCATATATTGCTTAATCTCTGTTTTAATTTGGTCATTAATCCATTGATTATTTAGGAGTGTGTTGTTAAGCCTCTATGTGTTTGTGGGCTTTTTTTTTTCTTTGCATAATTTATTTCTAGTTTCATACCTTTGTGGTCTGAGAGGCTGGTTGGCATAATTTCAATCTTTCTGAATTTGTTGAGGCTCTTTTTGTGGCCTAGTATGTGGTCTATTCTGGAAAATGTTCCATGTGCACTTGAGAAGAATGTGTATCCTGCTGCTTTTGAGTGGAGTGTTCTGTAGACAGATGTTAGGTCCATCTGTTCTAATGTGTTGTTGAGTGCCTGTATCCTTGCTTATTTTCTGTCTGGTTGATGTGTCTTTCAGAGTGTGTGGTGAATACATTGCATTCTGTTTCCCCCTTTAATTCTGTTAGTATTTGTTTCAGACACTTAGGTGCTTCTATATTGGATGCATAGGTATTTATAATGGTTATATCCTCTTGTTGGACTGACCCCTTTATCATTATGTAATGTCCTTCTTTGTCTCTTGTTACTTTCTTTGTTTTGAAATCGATTTTGTACTGCTACGCCTGCTTTTTTCTGCCTATTATTTGCATGAAATATCTTTTTCCATCCCTTCACTTTTAGTCTGTATATGTCTTTGGGTTTGAAATGAGTCTCTTGTAGGCAGTATATAGATGGTTCTTGTTTTTTTTATCCATTCCGTAACTCTCTGTCTTGGTTGGTGCATTCAGTCCACTTACATTTAGGGTGGTTATCGAATGATATATAGTTTTTGCCACTGTAGGCTTTAGATCTGTGGTTACCAAAGGTTCAGGGCAGCTTCTTTACTATCTAACAGTCTATCTTAAGTCGCTTATTACACTATTTCAGACACAATCTAAAGGTTTTTTTTTTCTCCCCTTCTTCCTCCTCCACTCTTTTTATATTTGGTGTCATATTCTGTACTCTGTGTGTCCCTTGTTGAACTTTCTGAGTAGTTGATTTAATTTTGTATTTGCTTAGTAATTAATTGGTCTACTTCCTTTGCTGTGATTTTATTTTCTCTGGTGACAGCTCTTGAGCATTAGGGGCACTTCCATATAGAGCAGACCCTTCAAGATACCCTGTAGAGATGATCTGTTGGTGAATTTCCTCTACTTTTGCTTCTCTGGAAATTGTTTAATCCCTCCTTCAAATTTAAATGATAATCTTGCTGGATAGAGTATTCTTGGTTCGAGGCCTTTCTGTTTTATTGCATTAAATATATCATGCCACTTCTTTCTTGTCTGTAAGGTTTCTGCTGAGAAGTCTGCTGATAACTGGATGGGGTTTCCCTTATAAGTGATCTTTTTCTTTCTCTGGCAGTTTTCAGTACTCTCTCCTTGTCCTTTATCTTTGCCATTTTAATTATTAAATGTCTTGGTGTTGTCTTCCTAGGGTTCCTTGTGTTGGGAGATCTCTGCACCTCCATAACCTGAGCGACTATTTACTTCCCCAGATTGGGAAAGTTTTCAACAAGTATTTCTTCAAAGAGACTTACTGTCCCTTTTTCTCTCTTCTTCTGGTACCCCTATAATATGAATATTGTTCCTTTGTGTTGGTCACACAGCTCTCGTACTATTCTTTCATTCCTAGAGATCCTGTTTTTCTCTCTGTTCCTCGCTTCTTTGTTTTCCTGTTCTCTAATTTCTGTTTCATTTACTGTCTCCTGTACCTCATATAACCTACTTTTAAATCCCTCCATTTTGTGTTTTATTTAAGATACTGCATTTTTCAAAGTTTCTTTCTCTTTCTTTAAGTCCTCCTTGAGATCTTGAATGTTTTTCTGTAGCTCTGTGAACATGTTTATGACTTTTATTTTGAAATCTTTGTGAGGAAGATTGGTGATTCTATTTCACTAATCTCCTCTTTCTGGCATTTTTTTCTTGTAATTTTGTTTGGACCATATTCCTTTGCCGCTTCATTTTTTTAGTGTTACCTATGGAGTAATAACTTTGTATAGCAGCTCCCTCTAGTGCCCAGAAGCTGTACTCTCTGGAGCTGCCTTGCACCTGCCGCAGTGGCAGGGGTCTTTTTTACTCAAGCTGAACTGGGGCCTGCTGGGAGGAAAAAGCTTGGTTGGGAGGGTTTCCTGCCTTCCAGGCTGTGTCACCTGCTTTCACTGCCAGATCTAGTGGGTTGTGTATATAGGGAGGAGCCTCTGTGCTACACTCCTGTAGCTGCCATGGGCATGGCCGCTCTGTGGTTGGCCTTGTGCAATGGCAGGGGTGGCAGGTGAGTGGGACTGGCACCTGCTGTGAGGAAGGAGCGGCAGGCTGCCTACTGTGATGGGGGGGCCTGGGTGCAGTTGCCAGCCAAGGGGATGGAGCATCTGGAGCTCCTGAGAGTTCTCAACCTGCTGTGATGAGCGTGCCAGGAAGGCTTTGTCTACCTGCCCTTTCTCCTGAGCAGCAAGCTCTTTTGCTCCTTTAGTACCCCTCTCACTGCTAGGAAGTCCTTCAAACTGCCCACCTTTCTTTTGTCCCAGGGGTGCTGGTATTGCATAGCTGTTCTCCACAAGCAGCTGGAATCTCAGTCTGTCAAAATATCCCGCTTGTTTTTGCTTTCCAACCCCACTAATCTCTAGAGCACCATGCAATGGGGGTTTGTGCTCCTGGAGCAGATCTCCAGGGCTGGGCATTCAGCAGTCCTGGGCTTCTACTCCATCCCTGCTCTGTTTCCCTTCCGTCTGTGGGCTGGGGTCGGGGGAGGGCTTGGGTGCTACTGGATCATGGATTTGCTACTTTACCCTTTTCTGTGGGGTCTTTTCTTTTTCACTAGATGTAGGCTGTCTGTTCTGCTGTCTTCAGGTCACTTTTTCAGGATTGGTTGTATTTGCTGTATTTTCATGTTTTATGTGATTTTGGGAAGAGGTTTCTGCCTCACTTCTTACGCCGCCGTCTTTTCTCCTCTCTTCAGTTTTGATAGGGGATTTCAGTTTTGAGTTTCTTCTGTGGAAATATCCAGTGTTCTACTAAAAATTGATTTTTATCTAAAATACTAATATTTTACTTATGCAGGGATCAAATCTTTTGAACAGAAGCAAATTATTAAGACTAAGTCTATAAACACAACTAATTCAAATGTCAGAGAATTTGGACCTGAGGAACCCAACAGGAAAAATGCAACATCTCTCATTCTTTTTGAAGAGGTAGGCTTACAGAGGTGTGCATTCATGGTATCTCATGACAAAAATTTATCCTATAGATTATCGTATGTGTTAACTATAAAGTATTGTAAAATGGCCAAGAAAGTCAGGAATACTTGTATCTATTTGAAACTAAAGCTAATGAAACTGTCAACTATGGAAGAATTTTTCAGAAAGGTGATTAATGCAGTTTGGTGTTCTTAGTTATTGTTTAATGATTACAGAAACTATTCTGACTCACTTATCTACAAGTGACTGCATTTCTTTTGTTTTAATGTTTGATAATTTTTTATTCTTTTGATAGTGTAAGAAGTAACCTTCCAGCATGAGCTAAATTCATACTGTTCATAAACTCATAAATTTTGTCACTAATAGACATACCTATTACACATATACATGAGTGATGTTCAGGAAGTGTAATGTTACTCACTACATTAATACTCTAATAAATGGTTCTTAGGTTGATGTCATTTTTGAAGAAGATGCTGGCTTTTTGAATGCAATCAAAACATTCATGGCAACAACTAAAAGACCTGTAATCCTTACTACAAGTGGTAGGTAACAGTGAGTTACAATTAATTACTTTTGGTTAAGTATTTTGGGAAAGCTTCTAATTTTAGTTAGAAATATTCTTTAAAATTCATCTATAAATGAAGTCTTTTTTTTTTAAATGACAAGTGTCCTCAGTTATTTTTTAAACTAAGATTTAATCAAATTTGCTATTGATTTGCAGCCTTGAATAATTATAAAAATAATATATTACCTTGCAAATAGCAGTGACTAAAAATAGATACTCCTTTGAGTCACTTATGTTGAATTAGTTATTTATGAAAGTGACAGCAGCCTAGAATGTAGATAGATTTATAAGCCAGTGAAGAGGTTTGGTGGTCAGGAACATAACAGACCCTTGTCTTTGCCTTTTCCTCACACCTGTAATTAGGTCACCAAACCTTATTAACTGGTCAAAATTTTATATGCAACCCAACCTTTCTACAGTTCCTTAACATTGAATTTAGCCATTCCTTAATCCCTGATAACACTTCCATATGGGTTATTGCATATTTTAGCTAAGGTAGTCCCTAGTTCTAATAGTTCCTATTCAATGTTTAATTTTAAAACTCATACAATTTCTTATTTTTATTATAAATATTATAATAATGTTTTCTAATGTTTTTCATTGTAGATATTCAGTAGAATATATTGGCTATGGATTTCCATCAGAAAATGTGTTTATATTAGACTTCACTTACAGATCAATGGTCCATTTGAGTTAGTGATTATACTCTAAAAATATCAATAAGAATCATTAATCACAAGTTAGATAGCAGTTTAATTAAAAGATCATATTTACTTTAGGTTGAGATAGAAATTCAGGTCCTTAATGATTTATAATTTGCATATTTTATTTTCATTACTGAAGAAATATAGAATATTTTCATAAAATATAACTGAAAAAAATAACTTAGCTGGTCTAACTATTAAAAAAAAAATTTTTCCCCATACAGATCCCACATTTAGTTTAATGTTTGATGGCTGCTTTGAAGAAATTAATTTCAGTACTCCTTCGCTGGTAAGTTCTGAATTTTGGTGATCATAAATTATGTATCACAGTTATATGAAAGGTAGTTTATTATGATAGTTATATTTTTAAAACATGGTTACTAAGAGAGATGTTAAAATTTTGAGTTTTAAGCAACTTCTGTTATTTTTATTTTTTGCTTTAAAAATATTTTTTTCAAAATTCAAATTTTTACTGCACTCCAGTGTTCATTAGGTTTTTTTTCATAGTAACAGTGCTTTATTGAGGTGAAATTTACATTTAGTTAAAACGACTTAAGTACACAACTTTATAAATGTGAACATATGTAAACATCCCTGCAACCATCACTCAGATAAAAATACAGAACACTTCTGTCACCTCCAAAAGTTCCTTTGGGCCCTTTGTAGTCAGCACTCTACCAGAGATAACCACTATTCTAATGTATATTAACTGTAATATTAGTTTTGTCTATTCTGAAATTTCAAATAATAGGAAATATTATGTGTCCTTTTATATCTGGTTTCTTTTACTTAACATTGTTTTTTAGACTTAACCATACTATTGTATCAATGGAATTATGGTGTCATATGCATTATGTCATTTAGCTATTTAAGACTGTGCCAAATAGATCTCGAGACCTCCAGTGCATTAGAATTCTAGCAGCTCTTGTCAGTCTTCTTCAGCCATGGTAGTTGTATCCATTTGTGTGTGTGTGTTTGCATTTTTTAATTAGCTTTATTGAAGTATAATTTATATACAGTAAAATTCACCCACTGCAAGTGCATGTTTCAGTGAATTTTGACAAATGTAGATAAAGAACATTTTCATTACCTCAGAAGATTCCCCTGTGGTCCATTGTGTTTTGTCCTGTCTCCTAACCATTGCCTTCACAACAACCACTCTATTTTCTGTCACTGTGGATTAGGACATATTATTTATTTATTTTATTTTATTTTATCTTGGTATCATTAATATACAATCACATGAGCAACATTGTGGTTACTAGATTCACCCCATTATCAAGTCCGCACCACATACCCCATTACAGTCACTGTCCATCAGCATAGTAAGATACTACAGAGCCACTATTTGTCTTCTCTGTGCTATACTACCTTCCCTGTGCACCCCCGTACATTATGTGTGCTAATCGTAATGCCCGCTTTTCCCCCTTATCCCTCCCTTCCCACCCACCCTCCCCAGTCCCTTTCCCTTTGGTAACTGTTAGTCCATTCTTGGGTTCTGAGTCTGCTACTGTTTTGTTCCTTCAGTTTTTTCTTTGTTCTTATACTCCACAGATGAGTGAAATCATTTGGCACTTGTCTTTCTCCACCTAGCTTATTTCACTGAGCATAATACCCTCTAGCTTCATCTGTGCTGTTGCAAATGGTAGAATTTGTTTTCTTCTTATGGGTGAATAATATTCCACTGTGTATGTGTACCACATCTTCTTTATCCATTCATCTACTGATGGACACTTGGATTGCTTCCATTTCTTGGCTATTGTAAATAGTGCTGCAGTAAGCATAAGGGTGCATATTTCAAACTGGGCTCCTGCATTCTTAGGGTAAATTCCTAGGAGTGGAGATCCTGGGTCAAGTGGTATTTCTATTTTTAGTTTTTCAGTAACCTCCATACTGCTTTTCACAATGGTTGAACTGTTTTACATTAACACCAGCAGTATAGGAGGGTTCCCCTTTCTCCACATTCTTGCCAGCATTTGTTGTTCCTAGTCTTTTCTATGTTGGCTGTCCTAACTGGTGTGAAGTAATATCTCATTGTGGTTTTAATTTGCATTTCTCTGATAATTAGTGATGTGGAGCATCTTTTCATGTGCCTGTTCGCCATCTGAATTTCTTTTTTGGAGAAGTGTCTGTTCATATCCTCCACCCATTTTTTAATAGGGTTATTTGCTTTTTGGGTATTGAGGTGTGTGAGTTCTTTATGTATTTTGGATGTTATCCACTTGTCGGATATGTCATTTACAAATATATTCTCCCATACTGTAGGATGCTTTTTTGTTCTGCTGATGGTGTCCTTTGCTGTACAGAAGCTTTTTAGCATGATGTAGTCCCATTTGTTCATTTTTTATTTTGTTTCCCTTCCTCAAGGAGATGCATTCAGGAAAAAGTTGCTTATGTTTATATTTAAGAGATTTTTGCCTATGTTTTCTTATAAGAGTTTTATGGTTTCATGACTTACATTCAGGTCTTTGATCCATTTCAAGTTTACTTTTGTGTATGGCGTTAGACAATAATCCAGTTTCATTCTCTTACATAGGACATATTTTTTAATAGTTAAAAAAAGTACTTCAGAGATTAAAATATGCATTCTTAATTTTTCATATGTATTGAACTTTAACATTGTACTAATTTTCAGAGAATCTAAGGACCTTGCAAAAGTATGTCCATTTTATGCTTTAGCTCTCAAATGTTTTTACATTTACATACATTATAAACTTCCCCATACAATGCCATATGTATTTTTTTGCTTTAACCAATCATATATGTTTTAAAGAAAGTAAAAGGATAAAAGTAGACATTTATACTTACCCATATACAGTTAATCCTTGAATAACATGGGTTTGAAGTGATGGGTCCACTTATACCTGGATTTTTTTTCAATAAATATACTGGAAACTTTTTGGAGATTTGCAACAGTTTGAAAAAGAATTTCATTTCTCTAGCTTACTTATTGTAGCAATACAGCACATAATCACATAACATACAAAATATGTGTTAATTATGTTATCAGTAAGGCTTCTGATCAACAGTAGGCTATTAGTAGTTAAGTTTTGGGGGAGTCAAAAGCTATATATATCTTTTTGACTGTGTGGGGAGTTGGTGTCCCTACCTCTTGCATTGTTCAAGGGACAACTGTGCTTATAATTTCTGAAGTGCTTCATTCCTTCCTGAAGATCCAAGTTTTACTTTGGCTTTGTTTCTCTTCAGCCTGAAGTATTCATTAGCAGTTCTCATAGAGCAGGTCTGCTGGCAATGGATTAGATTAGATTTCATTTACCTGAAAATGACTTTGTTTTTACCTCATTCTTAAAGGATATTTTCCTTTGATGTAGAAATCTATGTTCTCCATTTTCCATTAGTACTTTAAAGATAGTACTCTGTCTTTTGGTCACCATTGTTTCAGATTATGTCAAAAGTCTCTTCTTTCATTCTTTTCGCTTCCTATGTAATATGTCATTTTTTTTCTGGTTGCCTTTATGATGCTTCGACTTTCAGTTTTCAGCAGTTTGCCTGTGATGTGCCCAGGTGGTAGCTTTCTTCATTTTTATCCTGCTGTGGTTCTTGGATATCTACAGTTCTTAAATATGTGTCATTCTTCTAACTATGGAAATTTTTAGACTAATTTTTTTCAAGATCTATTTTATGCCCATTTTCTCTGTTTTTCCCTCTTGGATATTTAGTTACAAGTATGTTAGACATTTTGCACTGTTGCACATGCACTGAGGTGTGCTGTTCTCCCAGCCCCAAATTTTTTCTTTTTGTACTTTGATCATTTATATTGAATTGTCTTCAAGTTTACTGACAACTTTTTTTCCTATCACCTGTGTTCTTCCATGAGGCCCATCCAATTAAACTTTTATTTTTTAGTTTTACGATTTCTGTTTGCTACTTATCACTTCTGTTTTTCTGGTGAGATTTCCTATTCATTGTGATCATGTCTTCCTTAAGCATAGTTTTACTATCTGTTATAAAACCCTTTGCTATTTCCAACATCCTCATCAACTTGTGGTCAGTCTCTGTTGATTGTCTTGTCTCTGAGGTATTGGTTACTGTCTTATTCCTTTGTATTTCTAGGATTTTTAGATTTTTATCCTGTACTTTATGAATGATACATTTCAGACACTCTGGATTCTGTTATGTTCCTCTGAACAAGTATTCTATAGTATGTAGCAGCTAAAATTTGCATTCAGCCCTTTAGTTTTAGCTGGGCTGCCTTGAGAGGCTAAACATGTACACTCAAACATCAGTCAGTGATGCACATTCTTTGTAGCTAGAATTTCTGTATCTCTTAAGTTCATGACCTCCCCTCTCACTTTACAGCAGCTGCAGGCATCCCAAACTTTGTCCTCTGGTTCAAGCCAGTAACACTGTGAGTTTCTGTCTGAATTCTAGCCACCACTGCTGCATCCAACCACCAGTCAAAAATCAGTTTCTGAGTGGGGGTAGGGAATTCACCCAGGTCTTTGATCCATTTCAAGTTTACTTTTGTTTACAAGTGTTGATTTCCTTCCATTCTTCTTTGCCCTTGGTTATTCTCTTGTGCCTTTAGGCAGATGGTTTTTTTATATTTATTTGTAGTTGGTAATAGAGTTTATAGTTATTATTGCAGGCAGGGTTTGTCTGATAGTAGGCACTTCTTCATTACTAAAAGCAGAAGTCCCAGTTTGGGGGAAGCAGAAGTCCCAGAAGTGTGCAGAAGTGATATGTGTATGTATAGGATATGTATATATACACATATATGTAAAATAAAGTCAAAGGTTTCATAGGGAAATTTTTTTAATCTTTTTCACTATAAAGAAAAAATGCTAGGGTCTTGTAATATCTGTGAAATGTAAATACAATTTTATTTGTTTTAGCTTTTCAAGGTAAAAGACTGCATAAACTACAATGAAAGGATAATTGTACATTTTTTGTTTAACAAAAAAATATAAGCATATTAATGGAACTTTAAATAAAATGAAAAAATTTACTTGGTCCATTGATCACATTTTTTTCATTTTTTCCTCTTCCATTTCTTGTTTACATACATTTATGCTGCTATGCATACATTGATACAATTTTCTAACTCTGGTTTTTAAATCACATATGTATTTTTCAGTATTCTAGTATTCATATCTATAACTTTAATGGCTGTAAAATATTCTGTCAAGTTATACTGTTATTTAGTCCTAAGATTTTCTCAAGGTTTAGTAAAGTTGCCTCCTGGGTTCAGTTTGGAGAATCTCCCATAAAGTTTCCTTACTGTCTCAGACTGTATACAGTTAATAAAAGTGTATGTCAATAATTTAAATTTGATAGCATATACCTTTATATTTTTTTAGATCAGTTTCATTCTCAAAGAGCTGTGTTAAGATACTGTTCTAGCAAAATTTGTCTCACTTTTAGGTATGCATTACTGATGTGTTTCTGTTAACTCTGCAATTGACCATGTTTCTTTCCTCTCTCTCTTTATCTATCTCAGCTAAATGTTGCCAGCTACCTACAGATCATCTGCTTGACTGAGAATTTTAGAACAGATGTAAAAGACTTAGTAACATTGTTATCTGCAACTACTTGTGATATCAGAAAAAGTATCCTTTATTTACAATTCTGGATTAGAAGTGGAGGTGGATTTTTAAAGGAAAGACCATTAACCCTTTGTCGTAAGTTTATCTGTCTTAAAAGAAATGTCTATAATGGGATGCTATGTTAAAATATATTCTAAAATAAAGTATTTGTAAGATTGTAAAAATTTTGAACATCTAGTTATCATGTTGATCTTAAAAATTAACATCTCAAATATGTCAAAGTTTTATAAATATTAAATGTGGGTAAATAGAATTAAACTGAACCTGGAACAAATTGTTACTTATAAATTTATAAAAATATATTTTCTTATAAACAAATAGAATTATATTATTTAACAACTTTCTTTTTTCCCTTATTAAAAAACATTAGTGATTTTTCCATAAATATTTTTATAGGACTTTTATTATAATTTCCCTTTTAGCTTCTTCAATAGTCTATAAATTCCATTTTTCCTAAGAATTTTATTTCACAAATGCTTTATTTCTTATTGTTCTTCAGTCATCATTACCCAATTCAAATAACAGACATTTATCGAGGACTTTCTCTGTGCCAGGTCTTGTGTTTACATGAATAAGACACAGTTCCTTTCCTGAAGAAGTTCATAGTTTGTGATTTCCATGCTCCATAGTTACAGTTCTGTAGTTACAGATCCTGCTCTGGGAAATACACAAATATTTAAATAAAGCCAAGGTGAAGTTCTGTAATATTAATCCCCTATCCGTTTTTTCTTTGATTAGTTCAAAATTTGAATATTCTTTTTCGAAGTAGACAAACCTATATAATTAATTCAATGTAAGTTAGTAGCATTAATTGTTTCTTAGAAGTGAATATGATAAGCTCTAGACAATATCCTGTTATAAAAAACAAATTAGTAATAAGTATCACCATACTACTGGATGTAAAATGTTATACCAAGAACTTTCAAAGACAAAAACTAAGTGTAACATTGTTTCTTTTCTTGAAGATCTTAACAGCATTTCATTCTTTTCTTTTTTGAAAAACGCAGATACACACTCATTGGAAATTCGAACAGTGCAGTATATAAAATAAAAAGTAAAAGACCCATTTCTTAAAGGTAGCCACTGTTAGATCTTTATCAATGCATACAAAAATATTGTTACCTACTAATTTAATCTATACTCTAACAAACTGTATATATTGTTAAACAATTTGCTTTTTAAAAACTTGATGGTTTGTTAATATGTACAGTTCTGTCCCTCTTTTTCATAGCTGTGTGCTATTCCATAATATAGAATGGAAATGACATGATTTAATCAATCATTACCTATCAGAGGACATTTAAGTTATCTTCAGTTTGTCATTAATGTATGCAATGAGTATCTTAATATATATATCCTGATCACATCTGTGAATACATCTGTCATAGAGAATTCTATAAGTATGGTTGTTGGGCCCACAGCTATTTACATTTTGCATTTTGATAGGTATTGCCAGGTTACCCTCCAAAGATAATCGTACAGAGTTATGCTCTCACAAATAGTTTATGATGGCTCATTTATATATAGCTCTTACAAAACTAGGTTATTAGTTCTTTTGCCGGTTTAAGAGGTGAAAAACAAATATGCATTTTAATTTGCATTTCATGATCACTAGGGAAATTGCGTATCTTTTTGTGTTTATTAAATGCTTGTATTTCTTTGACTTGCCTGTTCACAATCCATGCACTTTTTTTTATTGGATTGTCTCATAAACTCACCACCACCATCCCACTTAGCTAGTGTTTGCTAGAGATAATGGTAGTATTGTATTTTATAAATTAAATACATTTGTGGAAAAGAAGAAAAGGAGGTATAGGTCCTATAGATGCCAAAGGGTCTTAGCTTTTAAATTGTTTGCTACAATTTGTTTAAAATATGGATAGCTAAGAAAAATATGGATAGCTAAGATTTTCTTTTATTAATTTTGTAGGAGGAAGTGGCAGAAATGTACAACTTGTTTCCTCTGAAGAGGACCCTGATTCCAAAAATAAGACTAAAAATACTAAAACAAACCTGATAGGCCTTCCCAAATGTGATACTGGCTGTGCTGAGACCTTGTTTGGCCTTAAGAATATTTTTTCTCCCTCTGAAGACTTAATTTCATTTTTAAAGGTATTTTCAATGTCTCATTTAAATTTATGTTCATTTTCATCTTCCCAACCCTACTGCCTTTTGGATGTTAATGTCAAATTTGCCTGTAATTTTTATAGGCTTCTGGTTTCTGATTTTAACACACATTTGCCACATTGACAGATGGTATATAGGCATTGCTTTAAATGCACATCACAGGATTTAGAATAGAACTTAGAAATGTTTTAGATTAAAAAGACAATTTCAATTTCAGAAAAGTAGTTTTTAAATAAATGAACTTGTTTTGAATTGGGGCACATGCTAAATATTAGATAATTCTTTATTTTATTTTTAATTGATATATGGACATATATTAAGTTTCAAGTGTACAACAAAGTGATTTGACAATTACATACATTCTGAAATGCTTACCATAAGTATCTGTCACCACATAAAGTTATTACAATGTTGACTATATTCCATATGCTATACTTTCATCCCCATGACTGATTTATTTTATAACTGGAAGTATGTACCTCTTAATCTCCTTCACCTATGAGAATTCAGTTCTTCAAACTGACAGTCTAAATTAATTTTTTTAGATTCATGGTACTATTTTGATGTATTATGGGGGTGTAGGTTAATAAAATTATGAAGGGTAGTGACCCATTTCTTTCAAGATAGAGTAAGGATGACACTATATTCATGTGAGTGGAAAAATGGTCAGACTATGTATATACTGTTATAACTTTTTTTCCTCAAAATTATTTTTCAGCACAAAATCAGAACAAGGGAAGAATGGCATAAACTCATCCAGCTCCTTACAGAATTCCAAATGCGGAATGTAGATTTCTTATATAGTAATCTTGAGTTCATTCTACCATTACCTATTGATGTAATTCCAGAAACAGAAAACTTTTGTGGTTCATCAATAAATGTGGATACCAGGGCAGCTACAAAAAATGTGAAGCGTCTTGTTAGGAAACATTCAGAAGCAAAGAAGACATTGAAAAAGTCACAAAAAAAGAAACATAAGAGAAAGATGGTAATTCTAGATGACAGTGACTTATTTGACACTGCACTAGACTTTTTTGATGCATCTAGCCTTTCCCCTGCATCTTGTTCCTTAAATTCAGAAGAAAGCAAAACCAGAGACAAAGAAAGCAATTCAGAGACAAAGAAACCAAACGAATGTTTAGCGTCTAACATTGAATCTATTCCTTGTCCTCAAACACCAGCAGAAAAAAAATGTTCTGCCCTTGTTTCTCACTGTTTAAATTCTCTCACTGAGTTCATGGATAACATGTCCTTCTTAGATGCTCTTTTAACGAATGTAAGGGAACAAAAGGAATTTGGTAAAAACGACTTTAGTTGGACAAACGGAAAGGTTAAAAGTGGTCTTTGTGATGAGTTTAGTCTCGAGACTAGTGATGGATGGACTTCTCAAAGCTCTGGAGAATTAAAGGCAGCTGTAGAAGCTCTCAGCTTTACTAAATGTTCAACTACTATTTCAAAAGCATTGGAAACCTTGCATTCTTGCAAGAAATTAGGAAGAGACCAAACAAAAGAACTCACTTTCTGTGTTTCACAAAAGCGCAGCAATGTGTACTTTAGTCAATCAGCGGCTAATACAGAGTAAGTTATTACTTCCTTGTACTTTTCATTTTTCAATATAAAGGGTAAAGGGAAAATTATTAGCTTTTTCTTACTAATTTTGAAATACTGAACTTTACTGATCATTGTAAACCCTAATATTAATGTGTCATCTAATGAGACAGTTCAGGAGACCAGCCTGATTTCTGGGAAGAGAAAGAGTGTGAGATTGGGGGGCTAGATTTGGGGGATTGTTGAATGACAGGAAAAGGATATTGGGTTTGCTGTCGCCGATAGCAGGTAGCCATTAAAGAGTTTTCAGTATAGGAGTGGTTGATGTGTTGAAAATGATACAGGAAGTTAAGCTGGAATCTATCTAACCTAGTCTACACCAGAAGAAGGAAGAAACAGATGAGAAGCTGGTTGTGTTTGGGATTGTTGCATTTTTGGAGCATTGAAAGTAAAAAGTAATGCATTACTTTTAATTTACAGCAGTGTGCGGAAGAGGGTAGCAGTCATTAAAAGTGTATTTTCTAGCCGATCACTTCTGAACCTGAGTAATAGGCAAGCTAGTATAATTGAATACTTGCCAACTCTTCGAAACATTTGTAGGACTGAGAAGCTAAAGGAACAAGGAAAAAGTAAAAGAAGGTAAAGCCTCTATAAAAGTGACATTTCAAATAGCTATTTCAAGATTAAGAAATATTCTTATATAATGGAAATATTAATATTAAACTATTTTTCCTTGTAATTTTGACAGATTCTTGCACTATCTTGAAGGAATTCATCTTAATATTTCAAAAGAGACTGTGAACACTTTGGCATCTGGCTTCCCTTAATATTCCACATTAACCATGCCTTTTATGGATTGTTATGTGGTCCTTAACATACATTTTTTATTGATTTTCATGGAAGTGTTTATTTTTCTTCATGTACATATAAAAGACTATTTGTATATTTTTCATTAGTGTGAAAATATTTAAACTGAAAGAATTTGGGTTATAAATTGTATTTATGATTGTAGTTTTTTTCAGAATTTTTGTATTACCTGATTTATTCTGTTTTGGAGTGTTCTTGTATGTAAATGCACTGTTTGTGAAAGGGAGAGTTCACTAAGATATTTCTAAGGATGTTTCAGTGCTAAACTAATACAAAATTTTTCCCTTTCCTGCTACCCTTAATCCATCTCTTTCCAACCAAGTATTAGTACTCTGTCAAGTTGTAAATACAAATTATGTAGGGGATAATATTTTTTTAAGTAAGTTTTCACAATCCAAAATACAAAATTGCATATATAGTATGTAAGAAAACTAAGGAAGAAATTATGCTGCATTTTTCATAAGGTAAGATCTTGCTGATAAATTTATTTTTAGTGTACTCCTCTAGTGTATTTTACCATTGAATCATTGAGTGTTGACAAAGTAAAATCAGGATTAAGAATTGTAGTTTTCATGAATCTTCTTTAGCAATCTTACATATGTAATATCTTGTATATTTGCCAACTCAAACGATTTGCCATGTTTATTTCACTTGTATTTTTATATGTGATGTTTTATTTCATAAAGATATTCATGATGTTAATATCTGTTTGGACCAACTGCTATTCATTAAAATTGTAACAGAAAGATTCTACTATAGGGTGTCTACATATTAACCCCTCCCACTTAAGGTTATGTTTTTGGAGAAAGTATATGTTTATAATTACAAGATTTTAAGATACCACATTTCACTTAAATCATTTTTATAATCAGGTGTATCTGGAAATAATTTCCTGTTTCAAGTGTTTATATTATATATTAGCTGAACATTCATTACATTATCTGAATTGTATTTTCACCTCAAAAATAAGGATCCTAATTTTGTTCAGTTGAAGAATATAGCTGTATACCTGTTTACAAATGTATATATGAAGATATATGCTTTTACCTCTTATTTGTTCAACCTACCTTTTCTTGTTTTTAATGTTTTTATTGAAATATACTTGTTATATATTATAGTGGTTTCATATGTACAGTATAGTGATTCAACAATTACATACATTAAATGCTCACCACCGTAGTGTAGTTACTGTCACCAATAATATTACAGTATTATTGGCTATATTCCTTGTGCTGTGCTTCCATCCCTGTGACTGATTTATTTTATAATTTGAAGTTTGTACTTCTGCCTTTTCTTGTATTTATAGTATATTGATTTAAAGGCTGAGGCTTAAAGGTGATATACAATATTTAAATAGGAGTCCCAGATGTAATCATCTGGGTAAATATGGATATTTATAGGTTTGGATATAGCTTATATCTTATAGGTTTTGTCCCTATGCAAAAGAGAATAAGATCTGAAGCCTTCTTTTCTTTTTTTAAGTATACAGATTTGTTTTTTCTATTGAATACAAGAGTTGACTACCTGTAGAGCATTTACATGTTAATTTGGTCTTTTATTTGTAGAGAATTCTGACAATACTCATTAATTGAAGAATCAGAGTAAAATAACTCCATGGAATTATATTTAAATGATCAAAAATCAGGAAATAATGGGGATATTTTCCTCTCTAATGGGGAAACATTTAAATCTTTTAGGTTTAGCATGATTTGGAGAAAAAAATTTTTCTCAATTCATTGTCTTCTAATTGAAGTATAATTGACATATAACCTTATGTTAGTTTCAGGTAGACAACATAATGATTGGACATTTGTACACATTGCAAAATAATCACAATAAGTTAAGTTACTATCTGTCACCATACAGAGTCACAAATTTTTTTTCCTAAGGATGAGGACTTCAAGGTAACTTTCTTAGCAGCTTTCAAGTTTGTGATACAGTATTATTGACCATAGTCACCATGCTGTATATTACATCCCCATGACTTTTTTTTTAATTAATTAATTTATTTATTTTGTCGTTAATCTACAATTACATGAAGAATATTATGTTTACTAGGGTCCCCCCTTCACCAAATCCCCCCCCACAAACCCCATTACAGTCACTGTCCATCAGTGTAGTAAGATGCTGTAGAAAACTACTTATCTTCTCTGTGTTGCACAGCCCTCCCCATCCCCCCCCATTATACATGCTAATCGTAGTGCCCCCTTTCTTTTTCCCCACCCTTTTCCCTCCCTTTCTCCCCAGTCCCTTTCCCTTTGGTAACTCTTAGTCCATTCTTAGGTTCTATGATTCTGCTGCTGTTTTGTTCCTTCAGTCTTTCTTTGTTCCTATAGTCTTTGGGTTTGAGGTGAGTCTCTTGTAAGCAGCATATTGATGGGTCTTGCTTTTTTATCCATTTTGTTATTCTGTGTCTTTTGATTGGTTCATTCAATCCATTTACATTTAGGGTGATTATTGAAAGATATGTACTTATTGCCATTGCAGGCTTTAGATTCATGGTTGCCAAAGGTTCAAGGTTATCTTCTTTAGTATCTTACTGTCTAACTTAACTCACTTATTGAGCTATTTTAAACACTGTCTGGTCATTCTTTATTTTTCTCCCTTCTTATTCCTCCTCCTCCATTCTTTATATGTTGGTTGTTTAATTCTGTGCTCTTTTGTGCTTCCTTTAACTGCTTTTGTGGGTAGTTGATTTTATTTTTTGCCTTTAGTTAGTATTTGGTTGCTCTGCTTTCTTTGCTGTGATTTTATTTTCTCTGGTGACATCTGTGTAGTCTTAGGAGTGCTGCCATCTAGAGCAGTCCCTCTAAAATACCCTGTAGAGGTGGTTTGTGGGAGGCAAATTCCCTCAACTTTTGCTTGTCTGGGAATTGTTTAATCCCTTCTTCATATTTAAATGATAGTCATGCTGGATACAGTGTTCTTGGTTCAAGGCCCTTCTCTTTCATTGTATTAAATATATCATGCCATTCTCTTCTGGCCTGTATTGTTTCTGTTGAGAAGTTTGATGATAGCCTGAAGCTTTTTAGTTGATATAGTCCCACTTGTTCATTTTAACTTTTGTTCCCCTTGTCCAGGGAAATATGTTCATGAAGAAGTTGCTCATGTTAATGTCCAAGAGATTTTTGCCTAAATTTTTTTCTAAGAGTTACTGTTTCATGACTTACATTCAGGTCTTTGATCCATTTTGAGTTTACTTTTGTGTATGGAGAGAGAGAGATATCCAGTTTCATTCTCTTACATGTAGCTGTCCAGTTTTGCCAACACCAGCTGTTGAAGAGGCTGTCATTTCCCCATTGTATATCTATGGCTCCTTTATCATATACTAATTTTCCATATATATGCTTGGGTTTATATCTGGGCTCTCTATTCTGTTCCACTGGTCTATGAGTCTCTTCTTGTGCCAGTACCAAATTGTCTTGATTACTGTAGCTTTGTAGAAGAGTGTGAAGTCAGGGAGCATATTCCCCCTGCTTTATTCTTCCTTCTCAGGGTTGCTTTGGCTATTCTGGGTCATTTGTCGTTCCATATGAATTTTAGAACTATTTGCTCTAGGTCATTAAAGAATGCTGTAGGTATTTCTGATAGGGATTGCATTGAATCTGTAGATTGCTTTACCCACAATGGCCATTTTGACAATATTAATTGTTCCTAGCCAAGAGCATGGGATGAATTTCCATTTATTAGTCTCCTCTTTAATTTCTTTTAAGAGTGTCCTGTAGTTTTCAGAGAATAGGTCTCTCACTTCTTTGGTTAGATTTATTCCTAGGTATTTTATTCTTTTTGATGCATTTGTGAATGGAATTGTTTTCTTAATCGACACGTCCGGCCGCGCTGAGTCGAGCAGGTCCTGAAGTGCGGAAGGGGGGCGAAGAAAACAAAGACAGAAAGAACTGGGAGGGCTGACACTCCTGCGTGTCGCCAGCAAAGCTTTATTAGAGTCCAGAGTATTTATACAGCAAATAGGCACACTATCCCAGGAAATTGCATTATCCAATAAACAATCAAGCACACTATTGATGTCAGCGGTAACAGGGCAAAGGTAGGCACAGCAGGGCTCCTTCAGTTGCTCATGGAATGCGTAAACAGGATGTTCTTTGTTCTCCATTCCTGCCACATCAGCAAGTGGGGGAAGGGGCATCAGCCCGCTCCCCACACTTAATTTCTCTCTCTGCTAGTTCATTGTTAGTGTATAGGAATGCCACAGATTTCTGTGTATTAATTTTGTATCCTGCAACTTTGCTGAATTCAGATACTAGAACTAGTAGTTTTGGAGTGGATTCTTTAGGGTTTTTTATGTACAATATCATGTCATCTGCAAACATGGACAGTTTGACTACTTCCTTGCCAATCTAGATGCCTTTTATTTCTTCGTGTTGTCTGATTGCTGTGGCTAGGACCTCCAGAACTATGTTGAATAAAAGTGGGAGAGTGGGCATCCTTATCTTGTTCCCGATCTTAAAGGAAAAGCTTTCAGCTCTTGCTGTTAAGTATAATGTTGGCTGTGGGTTTGTTGTGTATGGCCTTTATTATGTTGAGGTACTTGCCTTCTATACCATTTTTTTAAGAGTTTTTATCATGAATGAATGTTGAATTTTTTCGAATGCTTTTTCACCATCTGTGGAGATATGTGATTTTTGTCCTTCTTTTTGTTGATGTAGTGGATGATGTTGATAGATTTTCTAATGTCATACCATCCTTGCATCCCGTGGGTCATACCATCCTTGCATCCCTGGGATGAATCCCACTTGATCATGGTGTATGATCCTCTTGATGTATTTTTGAATTCAGTTTGCTAATATTTTGTTGAGTATTTTTGCATGTATGTTCATTAGGGATATTGGTCTGTAATTTTGTTTTGTGGTGTCTTTGCCTGGTTTTGGTGTTAGAGGCATGTTGGCCTCATAGAATGAGTTTGGGAATATTCTCTCTTCTACTTTTTGGAAAACTTTAAGGAGGAGGGTATTATAGGTCTTCACTAAATGTTTCATGAAGTTCAGCAGTGATACCATCTCATCAAGTGTTTTGTTCTTAGGTAGTTTTTTGATTACCAATTCAATTTCTTTGCTGGTAATTGGTCTATTCAGATTTTCTGTTACTTCATGGGTCAGCCTAGAAAGGTCATATTTTTCTAGAAAGTTGTCCATTTCATCTAGATTATCCAGTTTGTTAGCATATAATTTTTCATAGTATTCTCTCATAATTCTTTGTATTTCTGTGGTGTCCATCATGATTTTTACTTTCTCATTTCTGATTCTGTTTATGTGTGTAGACTCTTTTTTTCTTGATAAGTCTGGCTAGAGGTTTATCTATTTTGTTTATTTTCTTGAAAAACCAGCTCCTGCTTTCATTGATTATTGTTTTATTCTCGATTTTATTTATTTCTGCTTTAATCTTTATTATGTCCCTCTTTCTACCGACTTTGGGCCTCATTTGTTCTTCCCTTTCTAGTTTCATTAATTGTAAGTTTAGACTGCTCATATGGGATTGTTCTTTACTGAGGTAGACCTGTATTGAAATAAATTCCCCTCTTAGCATGGCCTTTGCTGCATCCCACAGATTTTGTGGTGTTGAATTATTGTTGTCATTTGTCTCTCTGTATTGCTTAATTTCTGTTTTTATTTGGTCACTGATCCATTGATTATTTAGGAGCATGTTATTAAGCCTCCATGTGTTTGTGGGCTTTTTTGTTTTCTTTGTGTA